CCTGAAAAGTTGGTCATATAATTTATCAGTCAATCTTCAAGGCTGTTTGTAACAAAAACACACTTGTGGCTTCGTTAGAATCATACATTTATGACTTCAATTATAACTGTGGTGTAGCTGTGACCATAACGGTTTATTGGAAAATATAAAAACTAAATTGAGCTGAAGTGACAGTCGAAACCAATAAAAGAGAATTATCTCTGATCACTTAACCCCACCTAGCTTAATGGAGCTTTACAGTGTTGGTTTAGCTGATACAGTGATTCTCATTGACAGAGCTCAACAAGACTATCTTTATTGCTAGTTTTAACACTCTTACGGTAGTTTCTCCCCAACCACAGAAGAAAGCTGTTCTCTTTCAACAGCCAAAAACTCTGTTTAACTCTCTGTATAATACTTTTCTAGCAACAAACTTAGCGTGCGAAATTGGCTAGCAGCTAGCCTACTCTGTGCGCTAACCAGCAGGCAAACTGAGTGGAAACTACTTATATTTCATGGAAGAAATTGAACTTAAAGGCAAATCACTAGAGTGAGTCTCGCCAAATGGATAAACTCAACTGAAGAAATGTTGCTAAAGTTCTTTAAACATGAAAAAAGTAGTGCGATGTGTCGCTCTTGTTTACTTCTGTTGCACCCAAGTGGTCAAAAAAAATGGGAAAGGTTCAGCTAAACTAAATTGTTTTATTGTGCGACTGATTATAAAGTTTTAACTGGCATTGTAAATTGAATAGGTTTTACATTTCAGTCATATACTGCACAACAGGACAGGTGTTGTGTGGGTACACGGTCAATAATGAAGAAGAAAAGAACAAACTACCAACCCTGTGTGTCTATACAATAAAATCCCTGTCTCCATGTCTCTTTGTCTAGCTCTCTCACTTCTCCTCACTTATTCCTCTCACATAATTTAGTTCACTTTTTACTGTCAAGCTTTACTACTTAGCACCGTAGAGTAATAGGCTATTGACTTTTGGCTGTATAGTGCAAACAGTCTTGTACATGGGGGAAATAAATATGAAAGTGTTGTACTTCAGTGATAATACTTTTAATGCATCCTCTCAGCTGCAGTCGTTGGCACTTTCTTCAATCTGAGAACAACATTATTTGCAGCTCTGCTCTAATAAAAGCGATGCAAGACCGGCCTGCAAAGTATCAGGTGGTGAGACACGTCTGACCGGGGTTGTCTCTGCTCCGTGTTAGCCTGCCTGTCCTCATTAGATGTTGAAAGATTGACACAGCCCGCAACTCACCCCCTTCCCCCTTTCCTCCCTTAGGTCCAGATAAAACCCTGTGAACACTCGGAGGGGTGTGAGCAATAATGAATCACTATTAGCCCGGGTCGCACCGGCTGACAACCAATTTACGGTGGTGGGAGAGGCTGCAGACTCTGACATCCAGGTAATCCCTGAGACGTGATGCCATATACCACTATACTATGGTGACCTTTTCCCATGTTTTTCAGGTGTTGTTGAAATATCTACCGGGGGATATGTCCAATTATTTCTTTATTTTTTATGTTTTTCTTCTAAAATCATATTTTGATGCAAACTGCAATGGTCATGTCTGCATGCATGCTGCATTTTAAGTTTGGCTTCTTGTCCAACTCTGCTATAAGTGGGCAAATCCTGACATCTAGTGGTGAAATATAATAACTACACTGGAGAATAAACCATTTTCTTTTCAATATAGAAGTGGTGTTAGATTTTCAGGGTACACTTAACTATCGAATAACCTTGAAGCATTTTCAAAACTGCAAATATGATAACAAATGAACTCTCTCAGTTGGAGAGAACTGTTTGAATCATCTGCTGGAAGCTCAAAACTTTACTGAGATTAAAAATAAGTGTTGGAAGACTCAAATTGAAAAAGCAAAGCGGGCATAAGTGCCCTCAACCAAGCATGACGGCACTCAGTTAAGACTAGAAAGCTGGCTCCAGGATCTTAAATCAAGTGCTCCATCAGACAGGAGGACTACTGTAAAAAATTCATGCTGGGGTCAACATGAATCTCTGTCTTTAACTAAAAGAAGAAGTGACAGTAAAGGATTGGATTGTTTTCTTTTTGGTGTCAACTGGTGCCTCCAAATTGGGTCCTGTCTTGTGTTGCAAAGATGTGTTTCTTAGAACTGTTAAATATGTGTAGAGAATGGTGTATTGTGTATAGGCCAACTTAACTCAAGAGAAGAGAGTGATGACAGTTCTGGTGAGGGACAATTGACCCAAACACAGCTTTTTATTTGGCTAATGATCTACTTCCTGATCAAAATAATTTCCCCACAAGTGCACTCAATCTGAGTTCATTCACAGAGGCCACGTGGAGGCTGAAGACGGGCACAGAAAGTGGGCGGAAAAGAAGAACAAATAGAGTCCGTACAGTGCAACTCGGAAATGTTCAGCACATTTATCACAAAGCTAGAACCAGAGCAACAGACTCCATTTTTCTCTGTCTGTTTGTCCTTTAGAGTATAAAAATAGCAACGCAACAGCAAAGACTTTATGGAATTTTACTGCTTAAATTTACTATATTTTTTAGTTAATGAGAGACATAAAACGATTATGTCTACATCTTAATGAATGTAAAGTAAAGTCTCATAATATACAGTAGAAAATTAATTTGCAGAGGGATTAGTTTGCCCATAACTACATAATATGCTCCACAAGTTGCATCTATTACACTGGAGAAAGACTTATTACAGTCCTTTGCAGCAATGACCTCCTGTACTGTGAGGTGTTAATAAAACTTATTTAAGCTAACAAAGAAAATCAGGCTCAAGATTTTCTTGTTGTGGTTTTGTTTGATTATTTATTTCTTCTAACAAAATTTAGACTTTTATTATGAAGTGTGTCATCATGAACGTGTTCTGTTGTTTGTTTTTGTTTGTTTTGTACTGTAATTTTTGATGCCTTAAACTGCTGCAAAGAGGGTAGGTGTCAGCCTATCAGCTGGAAAAAAGCTCTGTTTATACAATTTGCACACTTAATGTTTACAATTAATGAGACATGTGGCTTTTAAAGGTCAGCAGGAGAAGATTTTTTGCCAGAGGGTGCTGTTTATGGACATAGGGCTTAAAATAAACAAAGACTGCTTTGTCCATGGGGGGATATTGTCAGTGGTAATGCTAATAGTCTAGTTTGCTTTTCGAGGATATAAAAATGTTGATTTCAGTCTTTTTCACACCCATAGACAGTAAATAGAATGGACAGCACCTGCCTCCTCGCTGCATGAAGCCACTCAAAAAACAGCACCCTCTGGTGACGAGCTGCAGTAGAATAGAATAGAATAGAATAGAATAGAATATTCCTTTATTGATCCCCCATGGGGGAAATTTTTTTGTCACAGCAGCATCACAGACAAGACAAAAAATGCAAAAATGCAGTTATAACAATAAGGGTCCTAATATTAAGAACTTAAATAAATGTAATAATTAAGAAAAAAAATAGAAAAGGGAGAAGAAAAAATAAAGCTTTCTACAATATACACATTTTAAATGCCATAAAAAAAGTGGTGGTGTAAAATCAGTTTTGTTACTGTTCATTGTAAAGTCTTATTGCAGAGGGGAGGAATGATCTGCGGTAGCGCTCCGTCCTGCAGGGTGGGAGTCTCAGTCTGCTGCTGAAGGAGCTGCCTAAAGCCCCCACAGTCTGGTGCAGTGGGTGAGAGGGATTGTCCATGATGGATACAAGCTTTGTTAACATCCTCCTCTCACCCACCTCCTCCAGGGAGTCCAAAGAGCAGTCCAGGACAGAACCGGCCCTCCTGACCAGTCTATTCAGTCTCTTCCTGTCCCTCTCGGTGCTCCCTGCCCCCCAGCAGACCACTGCATAGAAAAGTACAGATGCTACCACAGAGTCATAGAAAGTCCTGAGCAGAGTCCTGCACACTCCAAAGGACCTCAGTCTCCTCAGCAGGTGTAGACGACTTTGGCCCTTCTTGTACAGAACGTCTGTGTTTGTTGACCAGTCCAGTTTGTTGTTGAGGTGGACACCCAGGAATCTGTAGGACTCCACCATCTCGATGTCCAGACCCTGTATGTTCACTGGAACTGTTTGAGGTGTCCCCCTCCTGCAGAAATCCACAACCATCTCCTTTGTCTTACTGGCGTTGAGCTGGAGGTGGTTTGTGCCACACCAGTTGACAAAGTCAGTGATGACAGTCCTGTATTCCCGCTCATCCCCTGACAATACACATCCGACGATGGCTGTGTCATCAGAGAACTTCTGGAGGTGACAGCTCCCAGAGTTGTAGCTGAAGTCAGTATAGGTCATAAATCCCGCCACCGCCAGCAAAGCTTATGGAGGGGTGTGGACAAACTTTAGAAATTTATTACACAGAACCTTAATTTTTCTCCCCCCCTGGTTGGGATGGTGACATGTGGTTATTTTCAGACTGGTTTGTGCTCAAGTCCTCTTTTTTCTGTACAGCTCTGTTGTAAAAAGTTATTAGGGGGTTCATGTTTTCTGTGATTGACGCTTGATACAACCTATGGGCGTACGAAAATTGAGTAGCTCACCCTGAGCTGAGCGTCATCACAGCGACTCTCGGCGACTCTCCCGCCGAATGTGTACAATGCTACTGCGCAAGTGGCTGAGTGTGTACAACGCTACAGCGCAATGTTGGTTTAAGGAAATGCAGAAAAAACGCGAAATTATCGAGAGTTTTTCGGTTTCAAATCCATATACTGGTGGAAGGCAGAACCAAGTTGTCCATTGTATATACAGTTTACGTTCACACCCAGCTAAAATCCCCTCACAGGAGCTTTAATTACAAAACTTTTAACTACAAAACTTTTCAGTATTTTCTAAAGCTCTGGAAAAGGGAATGACTGCAGTAATTCACATTTCAAAAGAATTCTGAAATTCGTCATTAAATAGCTTCGTTTTCTGTTCTTCTGTTAAATAATAAATCAATCCATCAGCCTTTTTTATCCTCTGAAATCTGACTCAAACGCTCTCGGTCAGTAAATGGTTAAAAAGTCTGCTCTGCCTCTGAGGCCCCGCCCCCTTTAGATGACTCATCATAACAGCAACCAGGAAGTGCTCCTAACTAAACACGTACGGTGAAACAGCTGACACGGGACTGTAGCTGTCAGGTATGTTTGCCTGTAAAGTTCCTTATGAAGATGGCTTAATGCGCTTTTTAAAGACTTTTAAAGTGATTCCAGTTCGTTTATCTTCAAATACACGACGGAGACAGTCGACAAAAACAAGACGTTTGTGAATGTGTGGATAAGCGTCTGCAGCTTTCCCACTTTCATTTTCCCTCTAAAGAGCAGAGGCCAGTTTTATAACCAGGACATTTGTAATACTGTTAATATTTACTGTGTGTGTGTGCGGTAAGAACAGAGTTGACATGTGCAACAACCACACCCTGAAGATACCTCTAGACGAAAAGAGTTGCATAAAGTGTTGATACTAATAGAAATAGACGACTTGAAATCAATTAAAGTCCATGGTATAGAAATATGTGCAAGTCAAAGAAAATATTGAGTTTTAATGAATAATGTATGGTCATTTTGAGACTTAATGAATGAGAGATTCAGTAGGAATCAATAAAAGCAACAATTCTGGTAACAGTGCTTTAAAAACAGAGATGACTCTTCAGTGGAAATCACCGCTTGCACTCAAAATTGTTCAAAAATGATGGTTTGTGAGTACAGCCTGTCACAACATTCACAAATGCAGGTTAAAACTGTGCAATGCAAAGAGGAAACTATGTAGACATGATCTAGATTTGCTGCTGACTTCTTTTGTTTAAAATGTAACACAACTGTACAGAATCACCAGAAATGATTTTATCACACGGGACTTTGATTCCACTTGATAACTCCCTGAAATTTGATGGAGAACTTACCAGGAGGTGGTTTATACAAGAGAGGGTGAAAATTTTCTGCTTGTGCAGTTATGTAATTGTGAATCATTAACATAAAAACATGTAATACAGGTTAGTCTGCGTTATTAATGTCACATCAAAGAGACATGGGGTTGCAAAGGGGCGCAAAATTTCCAGAAACTTTCCATGAGAAGTAAAGTTGGGGAACTTCGAAAATATTCCAAATTGGAAACTTTCCATGGGAATTATGGGAATTTATGGGAATAAACTGGAATTTGGGGGTAATTTAAACAAACTGTCTCATATCCAAACATAAATATTTTTGTTTTCTCATCAGCAGACATCCATACAAAATAATACAATTAAAAACCATAACACACATCAGATGGCGAACGTGGCATTTTTCTGTAGACTAAAATAACAAAAAAAAGCTTGTAAAAACACTAATGCAATGGCATGAACAGAAATACAGTTGGAAAGCAACTGGAATGGTCTTCAAAATATTTGACAATCGATGTAGAAATTATTGTATGGTTTCAGAAAACTGTCTTGCAGGAGTCAGAAGAAACAGCATCACATTTGAAGTAGCTACCACCACTTTAATAAGCTAGCCTCTTAAATAGTCAATGAAATGAAAAAAAGCTTACATTTAGCACATATTTTTATTCAATTTTTGCAAGTTAAATACTAATACTATTCTAGATCAAATATATTTACCCCATAATATCATCAAAACGTACTTGACTTTATATAGTCCATGGACTTAAATGTCTTGTGCTTTGGGCTCAAAAGTGTGGTCTCCAGGGTTCAAGAAATCATCTGAATCCTGATGGAGGAATTCACCATGCATGTAGGGGGTGTGGCCTCAAAACCCCTGCAGTAAGCAGTGTGCTGTGTGCATGTGATTGAGGAGTGTACTTGTATTAAATCTGATTGTTTTAGCTACCTTCAATTTTGTAAATTTCAGATGTATTCCCGTTAATTTCCATGGAAAGTTTCCAACTTAAAAAATTCCCATAATTTTGCAACCCTATCATGTCACATTTTGATGGCAGATAGAAGGATGTGAATGTGGAGTAACAGCATTGGAATAAATGGAAGCTTATCAAAAAGTAAAGAGGACTATAATATACTCTTCAGGGCAAAGTAACAGCATGGTTTTGTGTTGTTCAGGATGGCGGGCAGACTCTCCCTCCCAGAGGTGGAGCTCACCTGTGCCATCTGCTGCGACATCTTCAGAGATCCAGTGGTCCTCAAGTGCAGCCACAGCTTCTGCTCACCCTGTCTGCAGCAGTACTGGGGGCGTGGACGCAGCCGGGACTGCCCCCTGTGCAGAAACCAGTCAGTGGATGACCCGGTGCCCAGCCTGACCCTGAAAAACCTGTGTGATGCGTTTGTCCAGGAGAGCGAGGGGGCGGAGGAAACGGGAGGAGGAGGAGGAGAACTGTACTGCGATCCAGGAGAGATGTGTCTCCTTCATGGAGAGAGGCTGAAGCTTTTTTGCCTGCCTGACAAGGAGCCCATCTGTGTGGTTTGCCACACCTCCAGGAAGCACAAACAGCATGACTGCTGCCCTGTCAGTGAGGCTGTTGTAGATGTGAAGGTAAATACTGCCTTCAATTGCTCAGTAGCTTTCCAGAGATATTCTGATACGTATTTTCTACACAATACTTGTTCAGATACTTAGATTTAAGTATCAGCTAGACCAGTGGTTCTCAACTGGTGGGTCCCAACCCATAAGTGGGTCAGTGGGTCAGTGGGTTTATTTTGAAAAATAGCTTATTTTGAAAGGCACGCGTTATGTAGTGCTCCTCCTCAGTTTCTTATTAATGTGGCCTGATTGCAGTAAAAGTACATGTTTTTTTGAGGTCTTTGTTTTGTACAATTTGATATTAGATATTTTCTGTATGCAACTTAAGTAGTTGTAGTAGGTTTTTTATTTATTTTTTTGTTTTTGTTTTTTTAATAAATTTGTTTGGTTTGAATTTTATAAAAGTGGGTCACGACTTAAGAACCATTGGAAAATGAGGGTCCCAGAGTGAGGACACACTGAGGTGCTGAAAAATGGAGCCAATGCAGAAGTGCAAAAAAACTGCAGGTCCTCGACTGTCTGGCTGCAAAAGTCAACGAATCTCTGTCTGTTGTAACATTGTGAGAATAACTTTACAGTTAAGCCACAGGTTAATATGAGGAAAGCTGAAGTGAAGTTGTAGTTTTGCTGAGTGACTGACCTGTTTTGAAGGGGTTAGGTTATCAGAAGAGTAGCTTGTATCAAAATCAGGAACATGGAGCGTCCTGTTCAATAAAAGTAGAACTTTGGATGAAAAATCTTCTTTGTTTTTAATAAAGCGATCTAGGCTGCTGATCCAGTTTTCCCCTTCACAACAACAAAAACAAAAACAATAACTTTTTTCTCTCAACAAACAACTTTATTCTCATTTGATTTACGATTTTACTTTCGTAAGATTTATCACTATTTTCATAAGATTCATGACTTCTTTCCTGTAAGATTTATAATTTTATTCACATGAAGTTTATGGTGATATTCTCATAGGATCTATGACTTTATTCCCAAAAGGCTCTTGACTTTATTCTTGTAAGATTAATTCACGTAAGGGTTCTCAATATCGCAGTGTTTCATTCCTTAATGCAGATCCAATAATACCCTGTTGTAGCATATATAACTTTAATACAAAGGTATGCATAGATAAGAGCTTTGTAGGGCAGTAAAGACATGTTGGGACATGGCAGAGAAGCAACAAGTTGACCCCGGGGTAATGTTGACCGTGATACAAGGTACAAAATAGAAAGAGAAAAAGATAATATGTTATGTATAGTGATGAAGTGATAGTTAAAAGTGCCAAAAAGTCTCAAAGGAGAGCATGAGATCTGGTATGGTACAAAACTATATGCTGCAGAAGTTATAATATGTGTGCCCTGGTATAAAATGCAGTGTGATGATGTTATGTGCTTATTGTGCAGAATAGTGTTGTTATACAGAGATTGATGGGATGATTGTTTGGTCTTTCTGCTGTAATTTCTGCAGTACTAGATGCCATAGTATTGAAGTCAGCATTGCAACACCCCCAATGCCTTCCCTTGACTCTCTGATAACAGCTATTTTTAAATATATCTTAAAAAGGCCCTCAAATAAATTTCTGTTTGTCATACACTCAGGAAAAAATGAAATCAACCCTCACATCTCTGCAAGAAAAGAAGGACGCATTCGACAAAATGAGGAAAAACTACGAGGACACAGTGGCGTACATTCAGGTGACAATGACACAGTGTTTGTGAATTTCTCTAATGGTGTACGATTACAGGCTGAGGGATCAAAACATCTTTGAAAATGAGCTTTTTTGGTTGTATAATGGAAAGAAAGACAACCAAAAGAAGACAATGTAGATTTGATTGTTCTTAAGTATATTGGGCAACTTAGCCTAAACAGCCGACTGATAATAGTAATGTATAAAATATAATGTAATATATATATTTTATAACATATAAAATGTCAATTCTTTCTGGTGTTGCATTATTTGTGTGATTTTGTAGTTGTTTTGAGGCTTCAACATGTACTTTCTAAGCTGGACACTTCTTTTTCTCATTATTTTTTCAGATACCCTCTGTATCTTGAGGTAGTGCTGCAATTTTTAAATCATCTAAGAATTCATTTCTTCAGGTTCAGGCTCAGTTTGTGCAAAGGCGAACCCACGAGGAGTTTGAAAAACTTCACACCTTCCTAAGAGTCGAAGAGGAGGCCAGGATGGAGGCACTGAGGAGGGAAGAAGAGCAGAAGAGTCGTGAGATGAGGCAGAAGATTGAAGAAATCACCAGTGAGATAACATCTGTGTCTGAATCAATTCGGCTTTTAGAGGAGGATCTCGCTTCAGAGGGCATTTCTATCCTCAAAGTAAGTTTGTAGATGTTTGAATGACTCCACTGATGTTTGCCTAAAAGTTTCCTCCTAAGTTCTTTCGTGGATTTGCCTTTTTTTATCTTTTCAGAACTGCAGGAGGACCCTGACAAGGTGAAGCAAACTTTTATCTTTTAAACTTTTCCTTTTTGCTTTTATAACAGGATATTGAAACTTTGCGACTCTGTTTTCTGTAGAGTAAACTGCCAAGTTGAAAATCCAGCCATGGCTCATGGATCGCTTATAGATGTGGCGAAATATTTAGGCTCTCTGACGTTCCACGTTTGGGAAAAAATGCACAAAACCATCAAATACAGTGAGTGCATTTTCCAGCATGAAATTCAGATCATAGAGAGGTTTGTTCCTCAAACTGTCAGATGCAGTTTCCCTCGTTTTTAGGAACTTGTGGGTTGAATACGTGCCAAAGATGCAAAATGAGATAGAGTCCTAGTTCCTGACAACCTGCCATGTTCTCCTCAGCCCCAGTGACTCTCAACCCCAACACGGCGGCTCCTTGGCTCGTCTTGTCAGATGATCTCACCAGCGTCTGTGACAGTGAGGAGAAGCAGAAGCTGCCCGACAACCCGGAGAGGTTTGACCCCGATACAGCTGTCCTGGGCCGCGAGAGCTTCACCTCTGGGAAGCACACCTGGGATGTCGGTGTGGGAGACAACACGGCGTGGGTGGTCGGAGTGGCGAAAGAATCGGTCGTGAGGAAAGAGAAAGTGTCTTCAGTGCTCAAGAACGGGTACCTGTGCGTGTACTTCTACCACAATATGTACTTTGCGGGTACTTCTCCGTTAACAAGGCTCAGCTTAAAGAAGAATCCACAGAAGGTCCGGGTGCTCCTGGACTGTGATAAGGGCAGGGTGTCTTTCTATGATCCTCAAGACAACACGCACATCTACACTTTCAAACACGCCATCACTGAGAAGGTGTTTCCGTACTTCTGGGTGGGTTGTCAGAAGTGTCCTTTGATTGTGGAACCACGGGAGGTTTCTGTGAAAGCTGTTGAGTATTTCTAAAAGTACAAACCAATGGGAGGTCATTCAGATTTAACATGTATGAAGTGGGCGCTCAGAATCTGAAATCAACTCATTGATTTCATTCATCATCATGCGACTTTGTCATGTACTTCGTTAATCACCCAAGTTTAATCTTTGCACTTTGAACCACTAATGATTTTTCAACTTTCTTGTCTATAGCCATAACATGGTTTATTTTATAATAGTGATGTGTGGCCTGAGGGTATGTTACTGAATTGTGGCTTTTGTTTGACTAATCCAGTTTTGTGTTACTGAACCTGCATGTCAGACATTAAATGTTGGTCCATTTGAACAACTGAACTGTGTGTAAAACAAATTATGCCTTATGAGCAAATATGAATTATATTTCAAATGCTACTTTAATAAATAGATGGATTACAAATGAAAACTTCCTTGTCTCCTCTGTGAAGTTGACACTCAGATGTTCGGACTCACTTTTGTTGAGTATCAAAATCAGAAGGCTACTAGGTGCCTATTTGGTGATAATTGACGAGGATCCTAAGCAGGTAACACAATGACTCAATTATTCTTTACATTTCATTTCATTCATTATTTACTTACATGTTTTATTTATTGTGGTGGATTTAAGATATAACCAACCAGTCGTAAGAGAAAGATGGTTGTCTCTTGTCATAGGATTGCCCCAAAGACCGCAGTAAAGGTATTTCATAGTTCTTTTACAGGCAATATGTAATGCATCATCATTATTGGTCCCTGGCAGCTCACTTCTGTTGTGGCTTGTTTTATTTGCGTCCTTTTATTTTCACAGTATGTAACTTTTTTCTTTCTTTTTTTTTTTTTTTTTGCATCACCATTTTTGTGTGTGTCTCATTCACCTCCATTTTTTTGTATTTATTTATTTTTTATATTTATTTATTTATTTATTATCCGCAGCGGGCTTGGGTTTCCTTTTTATTTAATTTAAAAAGAAAATTTTTTGCATTCAACTTCCATTGTTGTTTCTTTTTTTCTTTCCTTTTTTCTCTTTTTTTTTTTTTTTTTTGCATTTTTTTTTGCATTTTTTTTTTATTTGCAGCAGTGCCGGTTCTCGGCCACCGTAGCAGTCGTTTAATGTATCATTTCAGCATATTTCATGTTCCCACGTCATACAACTGTATTTCACAGCCAGTTCAAGAAAAGACCAATGATAATCGACGCTGTTGTATGGAAAGGGCAGAGCAGTGGATTAAACATGTTTATGTTTATGTTTAATCCACTGCTCTGGGAAAGGGGAATCACAACCGAATTTGGGATCTCAGCGTTTACCGTCATTAACCTAATACCTGCGCACTTAAATTCAAGCGCGTCTGCTGACTGCGATAAAACGCACACAGCGGCTGGCTTGAACGTAGCCATATAACTCCGCCCACTACCGTCTCTGCTGTAACCCGGCGCGAAAAGCTTCATTTTTCTAGCCGCCTGCTTACCTCGTAGATCATTTACTGGCTAAAAAGGGTAAGTTTTCTTCCTTTTTTCCCACATTTGGTCTGAATTCAGTTCAGGTACAGCTGGTTATTAGTCGGTATTTGCCTCAGCAGCTGTTCGCGATGTTTCCAAAGGTGAGTTTTTCTCTACTTTTGCTAGTAGCCTGTAACTTCGTTTATTAGCTTGTAATAACTAAAGGGAAACTGTGGAGTAACTTGTTAGTAATATTTGTTAAATTAAAAAGCTTACTTTGAGGAGGCTGTCAAGCAGAAATTTGTGAATAAAATGAATATGAATAGTAATGGGTGTGCCAAGATAAGAAGTAAATTTGACCAATTTAATTGTAAAAAAAAAAAAACTAAACAACCTTATATTTAACATTCTTTGAATTTAGAAAGATTATTGTTATTAAAAATGTGCTTTAAAAGCCTTTGGGCTACCTTTAATCCAGAAACGAGGTAAGAAGCAATTTTCTGTTGTTTAATGGTGCAACAAAAAACCTCAAGCCAAGCCAGCTGTATTGGAATTAAATAAGATGCAAGATTGTGAGAAAAGTTGTAAAATAAGAAATTGAAAAGAAAACATGAGCATTTATGAACATAAACAGGGCTGTCATTCATGTATTGTGTTTTAACCTCACTGTAATAGACTGTGGGATTACAGGCTCACATCTTTACATCTGTACAAACCAAAAGACAGTGCAACTGGTGATTATTGAAGATTTACCATTAGGTTTATATCTGCTTACACCCCCTGTTGCTTGGAAATGATAAAAGAAATTGATCATGTGACCGAATATTTAGGAGATGGGCATCAAATCATGGAGTCTGTGAAGGTTAGAAGCACATGGGTGAAGAGGTTAGACCATTTATTTCCAAAAAAAAAACATTTTTCACTCTTGAAAGTGAATTTAGTCTGTCATAAGTTTAATTAGAATTGTGTTCAGACCAAAAAAGATCATTTTAAATTTGTTTTATACATCAATTGTGGTCGCGATGAGCTACAACATGAGGTCCAAAACCTAGAATAAAAGTCCACCATTTTAGCTTAGAGGACTAATAAAGTCATCATAGTAGTTCAGGGGTAAATTGAGGATCAGAGTTTTGGTTCAGATTGTTGAAATGTGTTATTGTTCCTTTTCACACAAAAAAAAACAGCTATTCAGCAATAATAATAGAAAGAATCATTGTACCAGTTGAATAGTGAATAATAGATAAAAATGCACATGAATGTGAAGAAGTGACTGTTATTTAGGGAGAGAAAAGGTGAGGGAGGGCTGAGGTGGAGAGTGGGGGGTGGGGGGTGGTAGGGATACGGCTCAACTTACCCGTTCCTGTGGTCAACTTACCCCATACACGGGGTAAGTTGACCATAGTAGACCACGTTTTTTGGCATGCTATATTATCAAGACAGTTATGTCTACACTCATTCTGTTGGTTTGCAGGGATGCACAACATCTTGAAATATATGCAGATACACTAGTTAGAGACAAAACTATGATTGACTTGATGTAGTGATCTGAAATATGAAAAATGGCTCATCTTACCCCACTCTCCCGAAAGCCAAAGAGCATGTTTCAGTCTCATTCCCAGCTTCTGATGCTGATTTTTATTTTACAGGAGTTCCAGTATGTCTTTGGTTCCACACTCCAAAAGACCAAAGAGGAAGATGGAGAAAGATGTGTTACCCTCAGAGCCCCCAACCAAGGTAACCTTCCTGAGCCAGTCTCACCTCCTGCTGGAAATCCCCCAGAACACCAACACCAACCTCCCTGTGTGGGAGGCCTTTACTTCTGGGGAGGTCAAAGTGGCGTGGACTGTCAACCCTTACAGCATCAATGTCCATGTTACACCTTTGCCCTCCATCCAAGAGGAGGGCGATGAAAGCATCATTACCCAGCCACAGCCTGCAGTACAGCCCAGCCCCACAACCAAGAAAAAGGTCCCACCTATCAACCTTACCCCACCTGCTACCCCCACCAAGCGAAAAACCCCACCTGGTGTCCCTGCCCGGCCTGTTTTCCACACCAAGCCCAACTCTGACACCCTGATCTGTGACAAATTCCTGCTGAATTTGTGCCATGCTGGGAACAAGTGTAAGATGCACCACACTCCGTACCCATTTCACTGGCAGCTGTGGGCTGTGAGCAGCCACCAGTGGGTCGATTTACCCACTCGCTCTCAGGTTCTCCTGGAGAGGATCTACTGCAACGTCAACCAGGAGAACGTTTTCCTTAATGATCAGTGAGTAAAAAGAACTCGGTCCTTATTCGGTCTTTTTATCTGGTACAAGATATTCCGATCAAAATGTGGGGAAAAAATCAGAGCAGAGCTAATATAATATAAGCTAATATAAGCAGGGATATAAGCATAAACACTTATATCCCTGAAAATTGGTTTAAAAAAAATTCAATCTTAAGTCAAAACTGAGAGATTTAATACACAGCCTTTAACGTGTTTTTAAAGAAAAATATGAATGTAAAAAACACTTTGCCTGATGTGATGTGATATAAAATAAGCAAAAAAAAAGCAGATTTTAAACCATAAATTCTAAGACAGACTAATAAAAATGACTGTAAAGATTAAAATGAAGTGTAATGGATGTCCTGAGTGTTGATGTTAGAGTTAGTGTGTTTAATCAGTAACTATAAATGTTTATCCATGTCCCCTGTTAGGGACGGCTGCTACTGTCTGGACTTCGACTCAATGGAACTGGACGATCTTTCCAAGTACGACACAGTGAGACGACTGACGAACTCTGACAGCCTGGCCAAGAACCAGTACTTCCCCAGCAAGCTGAAAATCTACTGGTGGGACAGCCAGAACTGGACAGAGTATGAGGAGGTGAGGTTTTTTCTCTTTTCACTTTACTTACAAACAGACCCTCTGCCCATGAGCCTCTGTTTTGTTTTATCATTCATTTTTCTGTCAGTCATTGCTGTCCGTCTCTTTACTGGTCTATTTTCTTGTAGGCTGTGTCCAACTTGCTGCTAAAGAGCATGAGAGAGAAAAAACCTGAGTGTTTTTTTGACATCAGAGCTGGGAAGTACAAAGTGGACTTCACCTCCATGACCCAATTAAACATCACCACAGGCTATGAGAGAGGGGTCCGCTGCAGACCCGTGTACCGCTCCCCTGTCTCCATGCAGCCGTTCCTGCGGTCAGTGTCGTGGATCTGCTGTGTTTCACTCTTTATTGTGTCAGTATGACAAACAGTTCAACATAACATCTTTATTGCTCCATAATCCAGGACAGGAGTCCAGACTGGCCTCACCACCGATCCTCCCGTGACTACATTCGGTGTGGACCCTCTGGAGGAGTTCAGCTCCTGGTATCCTCCTGTGTGGTCTCCGGTCTTTGAACGGGACTACAGCCTAGTGGATGTTCCAGTGGGCTCACAGGCCTACCAGAGTGTCCAAATTCTCTTCAACAAGAGTCTGCCTGACACCATGGTGGACATCATTGCAGTCCAGCAGGTCCAGAACCTCCTGCATTGGGACAAGTATCAAAGGTCAGACCATCATTTATCTCTCTTATGTCAAAGCCTAAAGGTAAAAAACTGTTATATGCACTTCTGAGTTGGGGAAACATGGGAATTGTAGTTAAATCTGATAGGTTCACACATGCTTTATCTTAATCCTGGAAATACTAACTGAACACTCATCCAGAGTAAATCTTTAAGCTTATACCAGAGATAGGGACTCTTAAATAACATCAGCAGCTCAATAACTAGTGTTGGGCGGTATGAACAAAATCTTATATCATGGTATGAGTAATTTCATATCACGGTAACGGTATACATCACGGTATGTTTTTTCCCGCTGTAAATTTAATTAATGGCTTGAAAATAACCAAACTGTCGCATTTGTTCATTTTACTTTTACATTTAAACTCAGATTTGTACAAATGTAAACAAAATGCCAGACCAGTCTGCTGATTTTTTTATCATATGGAGTACCTTTGGTGAAAGAGTCTGCCAAGCTCTTTAGTATGAGAGGAGCTTCTGCAGCTTTAGATTTAGGTGCAGCAGGTGCGCCACGCATCTTTTGGCTGTCATAATGGAGCTTGGCTTGTTTTATCTTTAGGTGGTGGAAGAGGTTGCTGGTGTTTCCACCTCCAACAACGACAGCCACACGACACTCTTTGCATAAAATTGTTTTTTGATCATTGTCGGATTTTCTAAATCTGAAGAATCTCCAGACAACCGATGTCGCGACTCGCGCCCTTTTTCAGAAGAAGTTCCTCCTCCTCTTCCTCTTGTTGGACGGGTCGGGCTGCCTTCGTTTGCTCGGTACTGCCACTAATCTCCGCGTCCGCAATGACCACCACCAGTGACTATGACAAGCAATGTACTGGACACTGTGATGATTATAGGGAGCGCACCCAAACCTGACCGATCAAACGGAGTGAACAAACTCCGTACGAAAAGATGGTGAATATACAGAAATGCACCCAAACGGATGTGCTCCGGCTTTCCTGTTAGCAAGTGCAGGCGACGACACACTGACTCAGAGAGATGCAGCAGACATCTGCTCTCTCTCTCTGGTATCGCAAAATTTCAACCTGTAGACACTTTTATACCGTCACACAGTTTATTCCGTCATACCGCCCAACACTATTAAGCCCATATCTTCTTACCATGCCTGATCTTTGGCTTGTAGTACTAGAGCGGCTGCACAGCATCACCTGCTGCCGCGATGACCCAGTGTTTTCTATACGTAGACCATAATTAATAAAGCCCCTCAAGAAAACAGACTGTTTTGAGGCTTGCATCTAAAGAAACGCAACATCTCAACATTTTTTGTAACGACAGGCACAAGTTGTACATGCAGAAGCGTCTCACCAAAGAGGAGCCCCTAGAGCTTCATCTTTTCCACGGGACGACCAAAGAAGCCGCTGAAGACATCTGCTTCAACAACTTCGACCCCCGCATGGCTGGGGTCAACGGAACGGCCTTCGGTTTCGGCGCCTACTTCGCCACCACCTCCGCCTTTTCCGACAAGTTCTCAGCCAAGATGGGGCCAACCAGGCTCCGCCACATGTTCCTTGCCAAAGTCCTGGTGGGGAAGGTATGCCTTGGGAATAACAGCTACCGCAGACCACCACCTCTCGACTCCAAAACAGAGCCGTACTGTCTCTATGACACCTGCGTGGACAACGAGGCTAATCCCACCATGTTTGTAGTTTTTGACAGCTGTCAGTGCTACCCATACTACCTCATCAAGTACAAAGAGCTGCCCAGAGAGATTGAGATTTGTTGAAGCAGACGGGCATTGTTAGCAAAGTAAATCAGCTTGACGCTAATGGTTCAAACATCAAGTTGCTAGTTGTAAAATGCGCTGAAACGCATCAAATGTTTTACAGATAATGTGCGATTAACGCTGCGTTCAGAATAAGGTCAGAAGTCCAAGCTGGGAATGACGTCACACCCGAGTTGCCAGTGTTTCAGTTGCCAAGTTGTAATAAAAAGCAAAATCTCTAAAAAATAAACTGGTGTCATCTGAATCTATTTATTGGAGACCTTTAAGATATTTCATCAAATGTACCTCATAAATCGACCCAGCCAAAGTTATTCCAAATAAGAAAACAACCCTGATGAGTGTTTTTCGCTGGGTTTTCAGCATGAACTTGTATTCACCATTTCTTTTTGGCAGAAAAGCAACAAGAATAAATCATCACCCCGATTTTATGATAAGTATATGTATATCCTTTTTTTTTTAATTGTGCAATCCTGCAGTTTCCTTTTTCATAATTCAACATGTTTCCAACAAAGAAAAATCACAGTCACAAGATAAAAATTACACGTATTCACAAAAAACCAAGTCAGACAGGCCTGAAAACATGATAATCACCGAGGTTAAAATTAGCTGTGAAGGTGAAATAATGAGTTAAAGGAGCACTGAGACTTTAATGTACATGATCAGAAAAAGAGTGGATGAATGGGGGATGAAATGTTACTTGTGATAAATAAGTCTGAGGTTTGGCCTGAGGGTGGCGCCAGATTACAGACCAGTGTTAAAAAACATTGAAATGATTCATGGTCCTTGGTGCGATTTACCACCTGATTCTGTGAAAGGAATAAAAGCATGACATTGAAACCAAAAAGGGAAGATAAACGCACATTAAAATCCCTTTAAACTACAAGTACATCATAAATAGAACATCTCTTTGTGCACCAGACGTCTGCAAAGGACACTTGTCTGCAGCACAGATGAGCGGTGCCTTTAACTTTGTCTTATCCCTTTAAGTGTTTATACAAATGTATAAATGAGCTGTACAAATGCTTCAAATTGATATTGGAATAATCCGGTTTAAGTAGCATGACAAAGGCTCACGGCACAAATACAGCGCCGCTATCTTCTTATTCTCTGTCAGCTTCAGAGCGACCTCAGCTTGAACCACTCCTTCTGTTTTAAGTCTTGTTGCTGCCAGCATCCAAACAGTCACAAGAAGATGGGCGGGCGGGGAAGGTGTTAGCGTCGACTAAAAACCTGGGAGTTCACTCACAGGCCAGCTTGCTGTCGAAGCTCGAAAGGCCGATGGCGAAGGCTTGAAGAGCGCACATGGGGTAGTTGTAGTCCAGAGTGAAGATGTCCTCAGCCACTCTGCCGAACTGCATCACGATGTAGTCAGCTGCAGTGAGGAGAAACAGGAAGTCACACAGGTCGTCAATATAAAGATTTACCAATACAGGAAAAAGAAATTGGAGATTTAAGTGAGGTGCTTACGGTCGTTGTCGTGGACGATTTGGAAATTCTTCACTGAAGCTTGGGTGACACGGCCGTGGAAGTTCAGGACGTAAGACTGAGTGTCGTCGTTCCACACGGGAGCTTTATTGTGAAGCTCGATCAGGTTTTCCAGTGAGTGATTCTGCCACCTGCTCAGGAGACTCTCCTGCTCCTGGAACATACAGAAATACAGTGAAATCAATCTGATTGAATTCTTTCAATATCGCCAGACTCTCTCTTAATACCCTTGAATTCTGATCTTTATTCATCTTTACTCACCAAGCCATCACCCAGGAAATGTAAAAAAAAATAAACTGAATTAGACAGGGCTAACACCATGAGGGCAGATCAGGTTTATCATAGAAGTAGATACTGTCATGATATGTTCTGTTCGTTTAGCTTTCTCCTGGTTTTGTTATTTAGTGCATTTTCTGTGTATTTTCCCCAGTGTTTCTGTTCCCCTGTGATCTTGTCTTGTGAGTTTTCAGTTTGTGTTTGACCCTGTTTCCCTCCTGTTCTCAGTGATTTATTCTTAAGATCAGTTTTCATTATTTTCTGTTTTATTTTGTAGGAGTTAATTCCTTGTGTTTCTAGTCGGTTTTGACTTCCCTCGTTTTCCCTTCCTCGTTAATCACTCATGAGTTTCACCTGTGTCTCGTCTGCCTCACCTGTTGCTCGTTTCCCAGTGTGTATAAAGTCCCACTCTTCCCCTCTGTTCTTGTTGGTTCGTTGTCTGTGTGTTTGTTGGTCAGTGTCAGTTGATGTCATGTTTGTCCTTCTTGTAATTTTTTCCCCAGTGTCTTTTCATTCCAGTGTTTTTGTTTTTTTCAAGTGTCTTTTGTTTCTCGGTTTGTTTGGACATTTTCTAACTAAGTTTTTGTTGGCCTTTTACTTTTTGCTTTTGCTTTAATAAATCCTTCGTTCTGCATTTGGGTCCTTTTTCCTTTGTTTAACCCTGCCACATGACAGTTACACAACATATCTGAACATAAATATACTAGTATCCCTCTCTTAAATTTATGGGATAGTCATTTTATGAGCTGCTGAGGCTGCAGACGGGTCAGTGACGCACCTGGACTCCTACTACTAAACCTGCCTGTTGTATGCGTAGAATGTGATTTGGCATTGGGTGGATGGCATAGCATGTTGATTATAGAGCATATGCTCCGTGCAGTCTCCATGATTTCCAAAATAATGTCAAATTCAAATTCGATACCCTTTTCATCCATCTTAAATGGGCTTGGATCCACAGAAGTCACAACGATTTTCTCGTTAATATGGTTTCCCTTTAAAAGTTTTTGAAATTCAGCATCAATGAACCTGGGACCCTCTTTTTTTTGCAGAGTCAGTTAAGAGTATGGATAAACCTTATTACCAACAGCTTGTAAAAAAAAGTCAAACTTACATTTTGAGGTCTCACTGGGACTCTTTCAAAGTTCATGTTCATGCCAGGAATGATCACAGTCATCTTTCGGGGTCCTTTGAATCCGAGAACGTTTGTTTCCTGCCAACAGTACAGAAAGTGTGGTGGGTTGATTCACTATGGTAAAAGTGCTTATTTATAACAACAAAACAACAGTCTTTGTCATTTGCTCACATAGCAGATGGCTGCCAGTTCCTGTCTCTTGTTGCTCTCCTCCAGCAGCGCTCCGGGGTTTTTGCAGGGGTTGGTGCCGTTGTCATACACGGTGAATTTGGTGCCCATCAGGTTGGACCTGAAAAGATGAACATTGTTGACAAGATGTTGGCACAGCTTTGAACATGGTTTTGGACATAAATTAAGTCATGCTATTAAGATGAGTAACATTTGGGGTGTGAGTTTACCTTAGTTTACCTATGAAGCTCTCTCCCTCTCTGGACAGATCAGTGGCATCCACTGAAATAAGGTAGTTGGAAGTCTTGCTCTTCTTCCTCTTTCGACCTGCCAGCAGAAACACCTACAAAGAAAATAAAACATATATGTAATATCATCTGGGACTCACACTTAATTCTGAGTGAAATATATTAAAATCCAAAAATGAATGTTGGGATGTAAGGAGTCAGTATAGGGAGATTTCCTTGACTGGTAACGCTGGCATGTATCCGCACCAGCGGCACTGGTACCTCTGAAGCATGTGTTTCCTGCTGTTGGACTGACTGTAACCCGGTTGCATTCCTGACATGCTTGTTTAATCAAGAAGAACAAGCATGCAGAAAAGTGGACACTGTGAGTTTGACATATTATGTCCAGTTGTCTTGTTGCAGCATTTCTACATTTAGTAGTTTGAGCCTGAATAAGCACAAATCCAGCTCTGCATGTTAATATTCAGCATTTAAACGCTGTAGATGATCGAGTACATCAGCCTGTAATCTGTTGCCCAATCCTGGGGCTGGGTTCAGTGCTGCTTGAGACAGTTGCAATTGATCTATAGGAAAAAATTGTCTTCGTATTTTACTTCTTACAGTGGAAAATATGAGTAAGTAAGTGATCATTTCAGCTCTGTAATCGCATATAAAACCTTTGTTTCACTCACTCTTTTGCCGTCTTCTTTCTCCATGTGCATGAAGTATGTCGGGTAGAGGCCGCGGTCCATGCCCTTCTTGTCTCTCGTTATCCGACATTTCACAGTGACACCGCGTGGAGCTGGACGAAAGACAAACTCCTCTAGATTAGCCACATCTAGCAGTGCGCTGTCTGCTGTCGGTGACCCGGGGGTTACCAGCTCCTGGGGACAATGAATTCAACATGTTTAAATTAGTCGAGATAACGACTCTTTGTAGTTTTCATTTGGATTGGTTTGGTTTAAAGCCCAATTTGCACAGGATTAGCATTTCCTGACCTCTGATGTCTGAAATAACTGAGGAGGACATCTGGGGTTTTAATCAGATGCAAACTGACCGTGTCTGTAATTTGTGAGGAAAAATTCCCACCATGGGTCGACACAAAGAAAACCTCTAAAACTGCAATTCAACGTGGAACGTTTTCTATCTTTCAAAAGGGTTTGTTGCTTTTACAGTCCTTTCAATCAATATCTGTGTCTATGTGAAAGTGGACTTAGTCTCTGTCAGGCTGAAGACTGCAGAGCGTGATGGTGGATGTCAGGCAGCACTTCAGTGTTTCCAATCAGAGATGTCATTACGTTCCATTGAATTAAAGACACTGAACACTGAGGTAAGGGGGTGATTCAAGTACCACCAGAGATCTCCAGGTACCACTAAACCTGTGTGGTAGTGCTTTGTGTAAATTGTGTTGCCGAGCACATTTACTGGTATGTCTTTGCCGCTGGCAGCAGAGGCTGGTCTGGTGGCGTCTGTGTTTGGGGACATGGAGCGCGTCCGCTCCTCCTCTGTGTCGTCCTCGTGTTCGCTGGCTTCATCAAAGTTCATGCTGCCGCACAGACCTGAGGGGGAAAGAGGAGAGATGAGCTGAAACTGTGGCTCACTGGATCATGACTCTGGGTCATCAAAGGCGGGAAAAACTGTTGGGTTAACATTTTTGCACAGTGTCTGCAGATATATTTGTTTTTAGTAACCTACCTTGTGCTGCTGATACCAAGGTCTGTGTCGGTGATCAAACTCTTTAATTTTCTAACGTTTCAGATGGATATTTTTCAACATGTGAGCAACTCAAAGCCAAAAGAGTAAAAATAGAATTTCCAAACTGCTTTCCATAAATCAAGATGTGATAAATCATTTATTCTTTCACCAAATCATCTGAGTGGAAAGAAATATAATGTGTCATTTATCAAATTGATTTGTGAAAGGGTGAGAATAACGCCATAAGACACTTGCTCTCAGGCTCTGTTGATTGCTGCCTGTCTAGACTGCGACAGACATCTGAAAATTGATAATTTGATTCATCAGACAGGATGTGACTCTTGGCTGCAGCTTGAGCTCGTTTCACATTGTTCCAGCAGAAGACTGAGACCCACTACCACCATGAGATCTCACCGAGGGAGGAAAAGTGTGTTTTTTAATGGCCTTGCAGAATCAAAGGCATGCACGGGGCTGTTTAACTGTGATTCAAATTAAGCTTGAATAAACTGCTTGACCTAAAACAGCATTAACTATGATAACATGGTGGGTTTAATATTAGAGATCATGTTGCACAAGTCTCCCTTATGACTGTAATTTAATCGTCAGCTTTGAAGTGAAGAAGCGAATTCATTAAAAGATTCTTGAGCTCCGACTGCTAAAGCCTGCTTCACACATACAAACACACAGAGACACGTTTTCTTCTCGTCCAAACCGAGCAGGATCGGGAGTGAGCGGGAAGAGAGCGCACAGAATAATAATGCGAAAGTCTAACACAATATTTACACGAGAGTATTTACAAAAGTTGAACTGAGGGTATGCGGTGCTCCCTCCGAGAAGATGTGAGTCATTTTGAAATATGGCTTTTCAATGTAACAATCCCCCAAACAGTGACTCAAGGGCTGCAATTAAAAAAACCAAGCACAGTCATGAGTCACTCTCTGATAGACTCAACTATCTGGAGAGGTTAGAGACCTTTGAATTAAAACTCTAAAACCTGACACCACTGCATAATAATTTAGTCATTCATTCGTTTGTCCTCTTCATGTGAAAGGAGAGTATTTTCACAAAATATCTGACCCTGCTTTCTCCTATGAGTCGCTCATTGAGAGGGAAATGTAAAAAGTTAGTGCAGTTCATCTTTTTTTTTATATCAATAGGTAGGAACAAACTTTTTAAAGCAAGGTCATGACGAAAAAGTACAAAAGCATCAAACTATACGTTTAGAAGTCAAATAAAGAGTTAGTCATTGTCTATTTTGTGATATTAAGGATATAATCTAAATGTTGAATTAAAATCCATTCCTTTTTTGGTGCCGCTGATAAAGTTGGAGCTCATTAAACAGAGTTATATGAATGTTATTTCTTTATTGACACACTGTCAAGTGGCCTTGTGGGCACTCACACCGAGCATGAGTAAAACCATCTACTCGCTTAAAGGCGCATAAATGAATTGTATTTTCTCGCGCTTATATCAACGGTAATCCCTGCCAATTCAACCGGCGAGATCAAGTAATAGACAAAGGTCTTTTACAATTTACCAGGTAATCCGACCTCCTCACTCACCTGCCTCCAGGCGAGCTCCTTTTTATTCTGGTTTCGGTGATTGAAAGAAAAGGTAATATATAATTCAGGGCACCCACAAACTAACATGATCAGTTTTTCCTCCATTTTAGATACCAGTGAACGACCATCCACTTTCATACCAGGTAACCTTAGTGCTGATTAGTTTTCGTGCTGCGAATATCCGCTCAAGTTGAGACATTTGCAGCTCCCACCCAATTCGGGTCATTCACGCCACCAGAGTGGTAGGAGAGTCTAATCGCGTCTTTGCATTGACTTAGCATGTGATTCTACCTGTGATTCAAAATGATTTTACTCGCGCTTAGTGTGTGGAGACAGTTTCCCTCACAACCAATTAAAATACACTAACACAGTTCTATTATTTACTTGGACATCAAAATCTGAAAAGTAACTTGTAGTGGAGGGGCTTGATTATTGAAAAAAAAAGATTAATTTTATGTTAAAATCACAAGATTGAAACTGAATTAATCACTCAGCTCCAGTTTGTAGTCAAACTAATAAAATCGTCATGGTGAAGGTGAAATTGAATCAATGATTGGTTCCTGAAAATGCATTAAAAAGTGAAACTTTGTTTCCTCAGAGTTAAAAATACACGACCTCATGCTAACCTTGAATATTAACAATGTGCTTTTAAGTGATCAAAAGTGATACTTGCTGCTGTAGCATTGTGGAAACAAAAGTCAACATGTTGACAGGTTAGGGAACTTTTTTTTTCCAAAGTTGCAGATGGATCATGAAAATGCACAACCCACTTTTGCTTAGTTAGAATACATTGTCCATAAACTTTGTGAATCCCTGCCAGCAGGCGCTGAATGTGGGTGGCTGTAGCTATAATGATGCCATAGATGAGCACTGCTGTCTGAACAGTGCCCCAGCCTATTATTAAATGACCCATTTTTCGCTGCACCGCCATCAATCACACCACTGTCTGTATCCATATTTCATACAGCAGCAGCAGCGGCAAAGTGCTTAAAATTCTGAGGGGTATCAGAAAGACAGACTAAGCTTCACAATAGCTGCTGATGGGTGTGGACTTAAAACTGAACTACATGAGCAGAGGGTGATTAGAAGCTGTTTTTCACCAGCAACAAGAAGAGAAGTGGACTAAGTAAAAATGATACATCAATTCAAAATTCATAATATTTAAAAGTTAAAAAACCCTAAAAAAATAAATAAATAAATAAAAATCACAAAGAAAAAACATTTTTTTAAAATTTTGATTCCCAATATGAGTATCATTTGAACGGAGAATGCAGTCGCAAAATCTCTTTTTCACCTCATGATTATTGGGCCATTAAAAAAATACCACAGTGGTATCATCTTAACATTTATGGTGAGCTTGGAAAAACAAAATAAAATTAAAAAAAACACATATTCTGGTTACTTACACGTTAATCTTCATTTAAAATGATGCTTCGAGTTACATTTTATTTGCGTCACCTGCCTAACCGAAACTTCTCTGGCGAACAGATTATCTCTAAAAACATCATGATGCTCTCGTGCTTTGTCAGCTTTGTTTTCTTCAGGCTTTTATCTAAATCCCTAAATCTCTGCAGGACTTACCTTGTTTCTGCAGTAATTCATGGATGTCTGTCTTGGGTTCTAGCAGCGTCTCGGTGTCTCCGTCTCTCTCGGGCTCTTCAGCAGCGGGGGACTGAGGCTGAGACCTAGACTGTGGCTGGAACTGAGACCGAGATTGAGACGGGGACTGGGACTGTGGTGAGCTTACAGACAGGATTTGGATTTTCATTCCCTGGTCAGGCGTTTCTGAGCCCAAGAAAGCGGCTGGGCCATCGATACCTAAAGCAGATAAAGACAGTGTAGAGTTGGTAGACTGAAATACCACAAATTAAAAAAGTTGATTTTTTGGTTTTTAATCCTCACCATCCATGATGACATCGTTGGTGACATTGAGTTGGGACTCCACCAGTGGGGCCTGCTCCTCACCTCGCCGAGTCCTGGAGCGCCGGGGTCGAGCCTCTGTGTTGGGTTGAACCATGAGGGGCTCCTGACGCTTCCTCCGCTGCTTCTGCTCCAGTAGAGCTCGCTGTGGGTCAAACAGGGTAACAGGTTAACCCCACGATGTAGCCGTTGTTGCAGTTCATGGTTACTACCAAAATGCTATTAGACAATTATAGATAGCATGTAACAGCAGAGTGTAGTTCAACAAGAATTTGATCTGAAAAATATAGATTTAGTTATAGACTCAGTGAATATAGATTCAGTTTCTGGTTTAACAAGCATATAAGCTGAAAGAGGGGAGGCTAATGGTGCTAGCTTTGCTATCATTAGCTGGATTTATTTCATAATGAAGTAAAGAGTTAAAGCTGTAATGAGTGGCACAGAGCGGTTATGTGAACACACTGTGACTCAAGAGGGACAAGAATGATGCCAAGGCCAGGTTACCTCAGAGTACGGTGTCAAAAAGGGTGCTGTAAGAGCGTCATTTGGTTTAGTGCTGTATTTCTTTGACAGAACGTCTTACATTCCCTTCAAAGAAAAAAAAAGGTCAAGTGCTAATGTAGTTTTGTAGGCTGCAGGAAAATGTCATCAATGACGCGAAGCCTCCCATCCTAAGTGGCATATTATGCAGCTTGAGCAGTATAGTTCCTAATGATTCATCATGAGATTTTATTGAGCATAGAAAGTACTTCCTTGTCATGCTGTTGTTGTGGCGTTCTTTCATTCCAAATTCTGTCCTCTGTGGCCGAAGCAGCCATTGGATTACACAAGCACGTTAATTAGTGCATCAAATGCACAACAACAAGTGCTGTATGGTGATGCTGTTTAGTGAACTGGAAGAGACCAGTGAGGCCAAGTCTCATATTTGCCAAACCAAAAAGCTGTCAGAACTCATCAGTCACTGTGCAAACCCTGGGAAAGTGTCTCTCACAAATGTCACAGTTTTCCCAGCTCTGCGAAACTACAGCAATATCTTCTAACACTGAAAATCTTCATGAATATAACAGGCCTACATAGGAAGAATGAGATAATAAAAATAACTGAATATGGCAATGAGTAAAAGTGGTGATTGAGCAATAGAGAGGGTACTGATTGCCTTATTTCTACAAAAAAACAAGTGCATCAAGAGCCTTGGGGCTTTAAAATCTGTTTCCGCATTTGACATATGACTTTAAAACATTTAGTTTGCTTGTTTAAGTCACTGAAAAACTGTAAAATTTCAATAGCACCTAAAGCTGGAAGGTGATTGCAAGTTAAAGTTCCCGCACTATTATGTCAACAATAAGCTGTGTTTTAGTAAAAGTCCCACAAATCACAAACTAGAAACTTAACTTGAGGTTCGTCAGAACAAAAGAGATGAAGTGTGTCAATAAAAGTCCTGATTTATGACTTAAAATTAAACATAATATGTCGGTTTGGTCACTGAAAACTATTGCAATCAAAAAGTAAATTTAAGTTAAGGTCTCGATAGCCATGAAAAACTACCATGTGTATGCAACAAAGTCCCCACAAAGAGTTGAACAAGATTTGGAAAGGTCTCTGGAACTACATTAAAACCAAAAAATGTGTGCAATTGAAAAAGTCTTAAATAACATTACAACCTCAAGCTGTGTTTAACTCTTAACAACAATATTAAAACCAGAAAGTATGTGTGAGTCAAGGTCCCAATAATCAAAAAATGTATTCTGGCTTAAGTCCACATAATACAGTAATATCAGAAAGAGTGTGTAAGACAAACTCCTATTAACTACATCAAAACCTGAAACTGTATGTCAGTTTAAGCCCCCACAAAAAGTTAACAAGATGATTAAATAATTTACTTTAATAATACTTTTTATCAAATTACAGCTGACTTATTCTGACTTGTTTAAAACACCGACAATTGAAGGTGAAAGAGTCTCCTTTAAAATATACTGAAGTACAATTCAATAACTCTTACCAACCTCCTTCAGCTAATGGCATTCACTGAACTCATAGTTCATGTAATCAGAGTCTGACTTTTTGTGTTGCCTTCCCCTCGTGTTGCTATTTTAAGCCAGTCTATTGTGATTCTTCATTTTTAGTGAAGACTGAATAGTTTGTATGCCCAGACAAGGATGTGACTTCATTCAGGCTTGAGCAGTTTTTCCTGAGTTGGTCAAAACATGAGAAAAAATAGACTCAAGTAGGAATGTAATTTAAAGAGAAATGATCTGAAACTCAGTGACATATTAATCATTTACAGTTTTTTTTTGTTTGTTTGATTTTACTTTAAAGTTTCAGTGTGACAGGAAGATAAAAAAACAGCCCCCATCTATAGCCCCCTCCTGGATCACAAATAGAAACAGATGAAAGATCACATTAACAGAAAAAAGTTACAAACCCGCTCCATTGACATCCTGAACAAGTGTGAGCCAAAGTTAACAGGTACCCCTACAGAAGAGAAAAATCCATTTTTCTTGTAGTCAGCCAGAACTACACTCTCTCCCAATGAGCAGAGCGCCTGCTGGGCATGATCCTTCCTCTCCGTCCCCTTATTCCTCTCCTGTAAGTCTGATGATCAGTGAACCAGCAGCCCTTTTCCCCTGCACTTCGACAGAAAAAGGTCCTCTCCCTCTGAAAGCCAGAATGTATGCCTGTGCGTGCGTGTACGTGTGTGCCGCTGCTGCTAACTGAATCAGCAGTCATTAGCGCTTCGGCAGGGGGTAGAGCGACAGAGAGGAAGATAGAGAGAGAGAGAGAGAGAGAGAGAGAGAGAGAAAAGGGGCTCGAGGTGCACTCAGAGTGAGATAGGTTCACAACCACAAGCCATGAAGTGTCGGTTTATCTATTAAAAATGTGTTAACATTAGTAAAACACACATCTTTAAATACACACACACTTGTGTTTCCTGATTGTGCTCATTTAATCATTATTTCGATTGCACTTTTGAGAGGTGTTTGTCCTCATTTGTTACATAAGAGAGAACCCCAAAAGGAGGCCGAATGGAGTCAGTTGAGTGTGTGCTGCACAACTGAGCCACAGCAGCAACCATAGTGCGCACACACACACACACACACACACACACACACACACAAAGCCAGGCACCTCACTCTAAATCCTCCTCTTTCTTTGAACTTCCCCAATCTTCCCCTCCTGATCCTCGCTGCCTAATGTGTGCGATAGTGGTGCACAGCTTCCAGCTTAAATCAAAGCTAACACTGCAGCTCCTCAACGCGGTTTGTAATAGAGTGTCTTACAAAGACTCAAGGGGGCCAAAGGATGAAAAGAGAACAAATCTGTGGCAGAGGGAGAGCTATGCCAGGTAATGGGCGGATAAAGTGAAACAATTCTGCTCCAGGAGCGAGCCAGGAATTAAAATTCCAAGTGACCGGGCAGGTGAAAAACAGGAGATTTCCGAAACAACAACATTAATCCCAGAGTAGCACGCTACCGCGGCGATGCTGAACTTTTTCGTGCCAACTGTTGGCTCCCCTTGGTGGCATCAGAGCTGAAACACACCAGGTCATCTCAGCCCTTCAGTTTTGTTTGTTCCAGGCTAAATCTTGGCCTGTGACCAGTTACACAACAGGTTCACTCTTAAACTACAACACATCTCTGTATCTGAGGTAGAGGGCTGCTGTACCGTATATAATATCTATGATCCTCTTTGTAGGTCAGTGTCCTTGTGTCTGTGCTGGTTATGCATTGCTCCAGTTGAATGGTGTTATGCCAGAGTAATAAGAGCCAACATACTGAGAACGCAGAGTTATCGGTTGAACATAAGTATCAACAAATATGTGCAGAGTGGGAATATTACTCAGTCTCTGGACAAGTTTCAGAGACATTTTAAAGGGATATTCTGGGGATAAAAGGGATAAAATTAATTTAGGGTCAAACACACCGTAACACCAAGTTAGACACCCCCTTGAGAGATGAATGTTGCAGACCACTTGCTTCTCTGGTTATACCAACTTTGGTAACGACCGCACGATAGCAATACACAGCGGTCTGAGGAGCCATAAACAAACCTCAACCAAAACGCTACTCTATAGCCACAAATAAATGCTAACTTCATCGACAGTACATATAGGGTCCAAGCCACAGAAAACATCCCTAGCCACCAAAAATCTGTTTAGCTTTGCCTAATTTCTTTAGCAAAGAGATTAAACACAACTCACCTACTCTCTTCCAGCAGAAGCTTGTTTGTACGGAGACCTCGCTGCAGTCCATTACTGACTACAGTGGGGTGACGCAGCTCAAGGAAGAACATTTGTGATCATTTCCATGAAGTAATAACTACTACATTAATGATTTTGTACTGTAGAAGCGGTAGTTCTTCTAAGCATCTTAGTCTGATTGCATTTCCACAAAGAAATGATCATGATGATGATCGTTACTTAAGTTGGTATAACTAGAGAAGCAAGTGGTCGGCAACATTCATCTCTCGAAGGGGGATGTCTATGACTATGGCTGGGACCTTATGTACTGTTGATGAAGTTAAGTGCTGTTCTGAGCATTATTTATGGCTATAGAGTGGCTTTTTGGTTGAGGTTTGTTTATGGCTGACTGCTTTAAGAGAAATTGTTCGAAAGTCTCAGACAATCCAAGCTTAATTAGCCAGTTGTTCATCTGCTTAATGGATGTCAATGACTTCAAGTAGCAATATCATCACGTTGCACTTGTGAATAGAGACATTGTAGTCTTGGGAAATGCAGTAGAAACAGCAGTATGACATAACTGAATGTTTGAGCTCTTCATTTGTAATTGAAGTGGGGTTTTTTTACCTGTTTTTCCAGCTTTTGCTGCATGAAACTGGCGCTGTCGTCTTCGATGCCACTGCAGAGAAAAAGGTTAAAAACAAATATCAGACATGTAACCTTTGAAGCATCCATAACAAATTTTAGTATCTCATCAAACCAGTAGAGGTCATCATTAATGCTAAATTCATGAAACTCTATAAGAGCTTCCATGCTGTTTTTTATCTTCTTTCAAATAAACCAAAAAAGGACACTTATAGAATTTAGTCACAGTGGTACTTTAAACGAGGGAATAAAAAATAATAGGTTTTGAGTCACAAAAAAAGGAAGAAAAAAGAAGGACTATGAACAGATCAAGCTCCAGCTGAGAGAACGCCTCACAGTCTCGGTCCTTTGGGCATTCACCCAGGACACCTATCTGAAGGGACCAGGCCCATGTTGCCCAGCTACGGTGAGCATGCTGAGAAGGGCAACAGCGGGAATCTGACTCAGAGACCCACAGTGTCTTTTACACAAGTCACTCCCACAGGCTGATGTAGTGTGAGGATCACTAACATCCCTTTTCATTTCTATCATCCCTCCCGTCAGGTTCATCCTTAAATATCTCAAGTTCTGCTGCTGAGCCAACATTTTCTTTTTATAGAGAAGAATTCACAGATTAGGAGGAGAAATCTCCCCATCATTCTACCTCTATTTCTCTGTCATCATCTGACTCACACGTTCTTACTCCTCATTTCCTCCCCCTGCCTCTTGTGTAGAGGTGATGACACACTCCTCTTAAGGACCTCAAGCCCGTGCTTGCTGACATCACCGCTCATCTCTGGGGGACAGTTGCTGAGAGCCAAAAGCTGACGAGTCCCTGAAACTCATTCGAAGCGAGCGGCGCCGTAATGATCCTACTGCGTTCACATTCACGCCGTCATCAGCAGCCGAGCATCTACTACTGTGCATCAAAGTTTGTCTTGCACCAGTGTGTCATATCATCACTTGTAAATCCATCACCGAGCGTCCGATGGTGTTGACACTGACAAGCAGATGGGCCCCCTGGGAGGCCATTACAACACCTGAGAGCAGATGCTGGTGACAGGAGGAAGACATAGAAAGTAGAGGATGATGGGAGTTCTTAATTACACATACAGGGCTTTCAAGGAAGGAGACAGGAAAGTTGGCTTTAACCCTTTAATGCCTTTTGTATCATATTTGATACGTACTTTTATATACTTCTATTAAATTAATATGATCAACAAATTACTAAAAAACACCTGAATACAGTCCGATCAATGAAAAAAATGTTTCTCTTTTAGTTTATTAGTTTCCAAAAACATCTATCAAATGAGATAAATAAATATATTAGTTAAATTTTAAGGACATTTTAGCTCCAAAAAAAAATTTAATTTTCTGGCCTTAAATTGTGATGTCAGGCATTAAAGGGCTACAATGGTGTTTTTTTTGTTTGTTTGTTTTTGTTTTGTTTTTTTCTTTTTTACTGATTGAACATGTGGATCAGGACTTTCACCATTTTTTAAATTTATTTCATAAGGCTGTAATCTTCTTGATCTATACTTTAAAATGCGTACTGAATTTTGAAAATATAATCAAATCAGTTTTTTTGTAATTTTCTGAGCATTTGTCCCCTTTTTTTTTTTTTTTTTTTTTTAAATTGAAAGTTTCAGTTAGTCCCTGTTAGATTTTTATAGAAAAGGATGTGATCAAAACTCTAGCCCTTTAATGTCAGAATTTTCTGGCCATAATTTGTGGTTTAAATTTTTTTGGAGCAGAAATGTTTATTTCACTTACTACTGAAAACCAAGAAAATCAAAATGTCCTCAAAATGTAACAAATATATGTATATATCTTGTTTGATACATTCGATGATTTTGGAAACTGATAAACTAAAAGAGGACATTTTTATCATTTATCAGACTGTATTCAGGTGCTTTTTTAGTAATTTCTTAATCATATTGATTTGATTAAAGTATCATTAAAGTATGTATCAAATATGATACAAAAGGTGTTAAAGGGTTCAATTTAAAAACTGGCGGGCAAAGTTCAGCTCAGAAGTCGAAGAAAATAGTCAGAAATCTGAGGGAACAAGTCAGACCTAAAAAAAATTTCTCTTATCCTCCTTCGATCTTCTGACATCAGTCCATTTATTTCACAGCACTAAGGGCCTGTGTCAACTTACCTTGAATAAGCGGACATACGCATTAAATTGAAAATAAATAAATGAACAGTACAGAATTTCTCTTTGGTTTTCCTAACCAAGATTCTGACAGCTTTGTGAGTGCATGCATTAGATTATGTCTACAGTAGTATATTGCTGCCTACCTTGTTGTTGTGCTGGACGAGAAGCTGGCAGAGCTGGAGGGTCTTTCGGAAAAACAGCAAGTATCAAGGCCAGCAGCACAGAACATGTGGAAAACAGAGAATAGAACGAGTTAAGCAACAGGATACAGAGCTGTAAAGGGACGAGACGTATTACTTCCTAGAAAGCTCCTAATGTCTGCTATCGGAGGTGACATTTTGGAGGACATCAATTATCTATTATAATGACAACAGGTGCAACTTCAAATAAAAGACAACCTTCAGAGTGTTATAAAAATACTTTAACCTGTTCAGGGTCAAGAGATAGAGTCCTCCTGGAGAACAAAACATAAACACACACACACACACACACACTCATATCACACGTAGACAACACCTCATCACAGCTGTGAGTGATCAATCTTTCATCAGTCCGTCACAGCTTGGGTGACAAGACGAGGACGCACCACTGTTGTCTCTTCTTTGTGTGTGTGTAAGGCCACCGTTACCATGGCGATTTCACCTCTGTCAACAGCATTGATTAAAATCCTGCAGCCACTTCTTAAGCTTGGCTGTAATTCGAGGTCTTAACACTGAGCTGTAAAGATATACACTCTGAAGTGGGGAAGGGTCTGCAAAGGTTAGCGGGCCTTTTTTTTTTTTTAAACTGCACATGAAAACCAAAATACCTATTTAGACAGTATTTCATTGGGGACTTTACAGAGGTGCATATAAATTGAATAAAAATATAAACTGCGCAGAAAAGGTACTGTGGGATGGTTTGCATCATCTCATTTCACCATGACCACTTTAGCTGTTGTTCTTTTTAATTAAAAGGCTTTAACTTTGCCAACGGCTGAACAGCTTCCAGCTCGGGGAACAGCGTGAAACTAGGCAACACCTGTTGCTCTTGAGTTTTTAACCTGAGTAGTTCCCTTGAGTAAAACCTATAGGTTAAATTGACAGTCATAATTATAGCTCATTTAAGTCTGTGTTGTAAACTCAGCTGAAAAACAAGACAAGCTTCTAGAGGTCTCATGCACTTCTTTTCCCACCTGATTTATAATTGCAGGTGTCATTCGAGCCACAACCCTGAAACCTACAGTTCCATCAAAGGCCACTTGGGGGTGTCTCAAAGAGCAAGTGGACAAATGATGATTTATACATTAGAATAAATTATATTTGGCAAAGATAGTGTTGGTTTCAAATTTAATCTTGCAGGAAAAATAAGCAGATCTGACCCCTGACATGTGTGAGTCGTGAAATGACACCTTTTTTTTTTTTTTTTTTTTTTTTTTTTTTTTGTGGAAACTTTATAACAATCAGCTACCCCAGGCATTAGCACTGTCTATAGGGAGTAATGCTGTGTTCCAGCTGTACTCAGAAGTCGGAATTTCCAAGCTCTGAGTTGGAAATTCATCTTGAACGGATATCCGACTCGTAAAGTCGGAACATGGTGCTACGGTGTTTGTAAGAGTAAAATACTGTGTTATGCGTTGTTTACAGCTGGTATAGCTAACAACAACCAGCAACCGCTGACAACGGCTAAGAACAGCTGATAAGTTTAAACAACAGCTAACAGCGGGTAACTGTAGGTGTCCATCTTGGTTTTCCTACTTCTTAGCTGGAACGCCATCAACTTGGGTGTAACGCCATTCCCAGCTCCGACATCCGACCTCTGAGGTAACTGGAACGGAATATATGACTGTAAACCAATTACAAGTGTGTCTTTTTCCAAATTTGTTATGTCAACCCATAACAGGTCCATATATTGATTATCAGTTACTACTCATGATCAGCATCAGTGTCAGCCCTAAACAACCAATATCAGTCGACCCCTCGAATAGATAGACAGAGAGATCTTGTGTGTAATTCCTTGCATATTCTAATGCAATCAACAGCATGGCTTTGTTAAAAGCTTGATCCTGATTGGACAAAATGCAACAAAAGTGGTTTGTTATTCTGCGCAAAATACTGGAGAGTGCTTAACAGAGTAGTGGTCAAATTTGTAATAAATCACCCCTGAGGACAGGATGCCTTTCAAGCAGGGAGTACTATTCGACCAATATGCATTTACAAATGGAGGTGGGAAGTCCCCGTTTTTAAAGGACCTAGGTATTACTGTTCTACAAGGCGATGGAAGAGGTGATGGTTCAAAAGGCTCTACTCTCAAGCCTGGTTTACAAGTTTTTATTTTCGGTCACCATAAATGTTGTTTCTGTGTAAAGGACAGCAGCAGAACTCATCAGTTTTCTTCTGAGTAGGTTTTCATGCAAACAGTCTCTAAATCCACCTAAAGCGGTCTGATTAATCAGTTCTGGTCAGGTTCTGACAGTGACAAGGTAGAAAAACTCAATCTGTGCTTATTTATGTGGCCCTTGTAACCCTCTTTCCATTTAAATGTTAGGGTTAGAGTTAACCTTATGGGGTTAACCCTAACTCCTTAGAAACAACCAGTTTACACTGAGTGACATCAGCTAAGTTTGCTTATTTTTAGCTTCAGTTGGGTGCAGTCTGGGTCCTGCACACCATGTCTTGGTTCCAGTAATTAATTTCAATCTGATCAATATACATTGACCCTTAATTGGCTGCTACTTGAACAAGCTGGATTGCTGGTAAACCCAAAATTTCTAAGTATACGTTATGTCCTGAAAGGACCACAAACAGTCTCAGTCGTTTCAGTCGGATGGATATTCTGAGCACATTCTTAGTTACATAGTGTTCAAATAAAGCAGCCGAGAGCATACAAAAAAAGGCTGTCCACACATACGCATATCACCAACTCTGGTTACAGCACAGTTGCAGCCCGATGCTCTGAATAAGTAACGACATCACGGCAGCAGAAACATGAGCAACAGGCACATCTTTGACTGCAGGTCAGCCACTCAGCTGCCAACATCAGGTTAAGAAGTATGTGGAAATGCAGGTAAAAATGAGTCCTAAGTCTTGCAAAGAACACAAGGATGTTCTGTATGTGTTCCTGTGCGCTGCCATACCTGTACGACCAGCGGCTGTAGACCGGCTGAGATCCCCCGTTCTTGACAGTGTCCATGGATGCTGCTGCAGGAATGCTCGTCTCTCCTTTCTACACTGTCACTAAAGCTTGGAGTCACTGTTTGGTGCTACCTTACAGAAAGCACCGCAGGCTCCAACATCTCTGCTGTTATGTCACTGAGAGAGAGTAGCTCCGTCCCACCCAGGGGAGTGACAGCTACCGGTGACTGGGGAGGATCCGAGCTGTTACCATGACTTCACTCTCCAGACAACGCATGAGGATTCAGCTCCAAATAGTAGGTTTGAAAGTGCTGGAACTAAACACAAAAATATCCTCTCTTTTTCATCTGTGGCAAGGAGGGGGGGCACTCAAATTCCCCTAATTTTGCGCAAGACAACTTTCCAGTAACTTTCCGGAAGACTCAGCTGCTCATTTCCTGTGACTCAAAGAAAAGACTGCGTATCAAACCACAAATCTGATTCCTGTCTGGCTCCTCACATAAATGCGATAGTAGGAAATGATTTAGCTTTAAATAGCCTAAATATATGTCTGTCATTCCTGTCCACATTACTGGATTACTGCGCAACAGATTCCAGTATGTGTTCCTCATCTTCATATTAAGAAGCACGCACTGATTTGAAAAGGTTAACTCAATAAACTGGATTTTATAGATTACCTTTTCTAAAAACAGATACCTTCTGGGGACCTTTATCTAGTTGCCAGGCAACCAGAGCCTCCCAATCTTTTTTTTTTTTTTTGCGAGAGAAAGAGAGTGACAGCACAGAGGGAAAAAATCAAGAGTGTGTTTGTGTGTGTTTGTCCCGAGAGACTGAGGTAAAATAGCATATAAGTACACCGATGATAGACAGGGGAATCATTCACCAAAGGGAGTCATTACTGAGCACAAAACACATCATGGAAATAAGCTACAACAGTTTGGTAATACCATTTCCCTCTGGGACTCACAGGGATGCATTCAACTTCTCTTCTGCATCAATAATGATTTACCTTATCAATGAAACTTTCATAAAACGCAAGTTGTTGAAAATTTGATTTTTCTTATGTTGGAGGAAAAGAAGAGGAACAAAACTCTAACCCTCCATGCATAGACATAGCACAAAAAATGCAATTTCAGCAGAGTGTGTGCAATGCAGCAGGATCCAACAAAGTGAGTCCATTACAAATACCAGAGATGTTTCTTTAGAGCCTCAGAGTATGATTTATTCCAGCCAACTGGGTCATATGGAGTCTTGTGGATGCCCACAGTAAATCACAACTCAACCTCAAACCACGCTTGTTGTACAGAATTCAACTGCCGTACATGAGCAGCATTAGTCTCGGCTGACTTATTTAAAACAATGAGAGGAGTTTGGATTGTCAATTTGATCAACTCCTTTTCACACTTGCATTCCTTGTCTCACCAAAAAAAAATAAAAATACCTGGCTGTGCAGACAGACACTTTCTGACAGTGCATTCTAATTTATTTAACCCTCAAAAATGAGTCGTCTCATTCAAATGCAGAGTCGTATTCCTGAAAATGAAGCTCAGCGTGACAACAACAGCATAACACAACTTTACACAGAGAACAGACAGGCGCTAACCACCTCTGATGCCAAGCCACTGATACCAGGGCCGAGTTCATTTTTGAGTCAAGGCTGCTTCGTACACACTCTTTCAGAGCGCTTCAAGTACCTGAGGGAAGGGCTTTTTTTATGTGTCCACTTGGCAATCATCATCTTGAAAACACAAGATATCTATAGGGTGCAGAAAAGTTATTTCAAAAGATATTAATTTCAATAAGATCACAAAATCTGATTCAAACAAGATTACAATGTTGAGCATACAACATAATTAACTGGTGCTCGCAAGATAAAAAAGCATGTTCCAACAAGATTATATATTGTTTGCACATCTTAATTAACTTGTTCCCTCAATTCAACTATCTTGTACGAACAAGTATTTGTTTTGTGTGCACAAGATAAAAGCTAGTGCATACAAGATCATTTCTTTTCCCTGCAAGATTATCCTTTGCTCACAAGATAAAAGTTCCTGAAAATTTTAGACTTGTTCTAACAAGATCACAACAAAAAAAAATCACATTTTCACAAGATGACAAACTTATCAGCACAACATAATTAACTTGATCTGATTAGTGATTATTAGCGGTATCTTGCTCCAACAAGACTTTAAATTGTGGGAATAAGATAATTATCTTGTTCTTGAAAGAAAATTGACTTGTTCCCTCAATATGATCACCTTGTGGGAACAAGTAATTTTCTTAGTTTCACAAGATTGTAACTTGTGCACACAAGATGATAAAAATGTGCATATAACGATGACTTTTTTTCCACAAGATGTAACTTGTACGAACAAGATCATTGTTCCTACCAGATTACGGTTTGGTCTCACAGGATCTCAACTTCTATTCACAAGAAAATAGGACTTATTTTCACAAGACATTAACTTGTGTGCACAAGATAATCAACTTGTTCTCACAACATAATCATTTTCTGGGAATACGCAATTACCTTGTGTGTAAAAGATAATAACTTGTGCACACAAGATAATAAGATGTGTGAAATTCAATTTCTTTCTATCACATGATAACAACTTGTGTTCACATTATAAGTTGTTCCCAAAAGTTTACAAGTCCTTCTCGCAGGATTACAACTTCTCTGTAAGCAAATTTACTCTTTTCCGCAAGATTACAATTTGTACACACAAGAAAATTTACAGTCTAAATGAAGATAAAGTTGTATAATGTAGAGTAGGTTGTGTTTGGTTTAACTGACATGTAACCACTCACTAACAGGCATGTGTATGAATCTACAAGGACAACTGAAGGCTTGTGGTGCTAGCTCTGCCACTGTTAGCCCCACTCAGTGATTTGATTTTGTTTACCCCAGATTCTGTGATCCTGTAATTCACCTTATTCAATAGTATCTGACCGTTCTGCGAGTGTTTCCTTACCTTCATCCTAGTCAGTTAGTTTTTTTAAATTTTTGCATGAATAGCTGTAAAAAGTAGCTAGATTAAATGTTAACATGTGATACTTTGTAGCAACAGAGGAACGTTTTGCATCCATGGTTTATGTTTCATGGTTTAAATGATGGTATATGAACACCTAATGATGAGTGTAGATGCCCTGATTCAACTCTGAACCAAGCAAAGAGTATTCTTGACAGGATTTACTACAGTAATAACCGCAGCCTTTTGTACTTGGACACTGATACTACACAGCGGTATTTACTTCTGTACCCAGACACATGGCAAATGAAACTCTTGTCTTAAAAAAGTCATGGCAGAACTTGCAGTGACAACCATGGAAAATGTTGGCAAATACAGAACTTACAAACTTCCTCCTTTCTTATAAGAAAACATTCAAGATGCTGTTATAAAAACTCCTCAGCCATTCAAGAAGAAGACTGAGATTTACGACCCCTATAACCACTTTGTTCTGCCAACTGACACAGCAGTTTCCAGTTAAAGAGAAAGGGAGCAAGTTTTGTGCCTTGGGAAAAATCTCTGTCTGGGAATAATAGTAGTGTTGAGCTAGTTAACTTGTTTGCAAGAGGTTAGAGAAGAGTCAATTAAAAACAGAGAAGATGTAGTTTTTGAAAGTTCATTGTTACAAAAGCTGAGTCAGCCATCTGTGAACTTTAACACCAACTCTCTGACCCAGCGGAGTAGTGTGTGCACCACAGCTGGTGTGCTGATCAGGAATGAGTCTCACATTACTTGACTGACTGAGTTACAAAGCCAACAGTTTCTCCTGGGTTAGTTAGACATCTGGCCTGGCAACATGACGTTATATGACGGAGGTTGTGTATTTATTTGTGGCGCAATATGCAATTTTAAACCTAACTTTTTAGCATTACTGTAAAAGAAGCACAACATCTTACATTATGTGTCTTGATTGACATTTCGTATACAGCCAGAGAGGGGAAAGTAACAGGAAAGGGTGGGTGCTGCTTTGATTGTCATCTCCCTGCAAAATGAAAGCAGACCTCTGCTCTGACTGGAGATTGTTTACAGTGGCTTCCATTGTGCGAACACACACACAGACACGCACAGACACAAGACACCTTGGCAACAACACTTCTGATGTTCACTTAACCACCAGCTGAGTCGACATCAGAAGAAAAGTACAGAGAGACCTGTGGAGTCTGTCTGTTTCTATCAGCTGTTTTCTCTTGTTAATCCATTGTGTAGTAAACACATCGACCAGCCTTAACATTACAAACGCCTTGTCAATCTAATGTAATAGTTTTACCACAAACTTAGTTGTTGTGCTTAGTTGAAGACATAGCGAGAGGTGAGCAAGGTGGTGCACTTTTACTTCAATGAAACCTAGTACACCAACAACACCCATTACAAGTATAACATATAATATAAAGCACAATTATCACCTGTCTGAACTTGTCAATGAAAACAGAAAATGTAGAGGCTACATCAAACTAGAATCCATTGGGGGGGGGGGGGGATAAAGGTCCTTGATACAAATGTAGAACGCAAAATCCCGAAATATTCAGAGGCGAATTTTGACGCGCCTGACTATACACATCAAGCCCGATGCGATTTTGCGACTTTTCGGGGGGGAAAAGATGCATCCCAGGGAAGATTTTTCCCAGGGAAATCCCGCCTCCTTCGCCTCTGATTGGCAAGAAAAGCTGGAAACATCATCACACGCTCAAGCCAAGCGGCCAGCACTCATTGCCTATCAGAGACGAAGGAGATTAGACAGTGTTAAGATGGCTTTCTGTCATGATAGCATGTACTGAGTCAGGGCCAGTACCAGATAAGCACATTAAACTATGGTAACAAATGTTAGCTTACGTAAGCACTGATGAAAGTTAAAACAAAGACGTTTAGCAAACTGTTTAAGCACACAAACCATCGTCATATAAGAGATTCGACGCTATGACTCTCCACAAGTTGTCCTTCAGGTCGTTATCTTTGTAATATTTGTGTTTTTTATCAAAAAGCACTCTGTTCTCCCACACGTAAACAAAATCATCTGATTGGCCATGTTGGACATACCGATGAATCTGACTTCGCAACAACATGCAATCTGATCGGTCAGAAGTGGACACACAGTATGCTAAACTCTAGAAAAATTGACCACGATCCGAAAGAATAAATGCCGCAAAACCACAGAATGGGAAAACGTTGCTGATGTAAACACTTGTATTGACAGGATACGGGTTCGAAAAAATATTTACGTCTGAAATAATCGCACAACAAAACTGTTCCGGTATGTAAGGACCTTAAATCTTAAAAACTGATTTACATGTGATGTGTATTTTTTGAGTAAATATGGTTCCTGGAATAGTCAATAGAAAACCATAATCATTCAACTGTTAAACTGGTGTTAAAAACGCAGACTAAATATCGAGAAAATCAACAATATCGTAGAATCACAATTTAAATCGAATTGGCATCCAAAAGATCGTAGAAGAATCAAATCGGGAGAAAAGCATATCGTCCCAGCTCTAGAATCCATGGCGTTGGGTTGCATTAGGTGTCCTGACATTATATCTGGTCGGTGTTTATCTATCTGATCACTAAGTCATTACAGAAGCTTGTTTCCTTTGGTGAGGGGCTCCACTACTTTGCAGGAATGCTATGACTGAAAAAGAGGTTTCATAAAGACAAGCTCAAACATGACATGCAAAAGCTTTTCTCTTTCCACCCAGCTTTGCTGTCTTCAAAGCTAAACCTCGCCAGGCTTAACCTTAAAAGCCAAAAGTGAAAAGCAAAGACGATTTAGCTCTCATATCTCGACGCAGACAAAATATCAAGGCGGTGGGTTTCTTTTCTTTCAACTTCTGGGTTTTTTAGAAGTCGTTTATGGGTGGAAACAGCTCAGAAAAAACTACCTCTCACAAAAGCTCCTCTAATGTTCATATAAACAAACACTGGAGCCGTTACTCAGACATACACTATACATGCATGAAACAAGTTTATAACACCAGACTGTTCCTCTTATTCAACCATGAAAAAGCCAATAAAACACAGTTTAACACGAGCAGATGTGGTGATGTAGTTATTCATCTGATACGACAGGGTTTTGTTGCAACAGAGAGTATTTAGTAATGTGGATGTTGAAGCATTACGACCGAGAGCTCGTTACAGATATCTACAATAAGCAGTAACATGAGATATGCTGGCGGTGTGATGTATTTTGTATGTTAAAGCAAACTTATCAGAGCTAGGAGCTAACTGTAGCCTCCTCAGGTTCTGTCTGCAATGGAGCTGCATACAAGTTGTGGGCGATAGTTTAGTCCTCTCGGGCGACAGAAAAACCGTAACCACACCGGTCGACCTTCCATTCCACTCTTCGTCAAACACAACAAAATTCACACAACACGACAGAAATGTTTGTTTTATATTACCTTATGCTGTAGTAACTCATGTTTATCCACGGTTGCTAAGGAAGATCCTCGTGCAATAGGACACTTTTACGGACGCGGTTGAGGAGAACTTGGTAACTCAGTCCTTAGTTACCGAACACACGAAGAACAGGCGTTCCTATTGGTCGGCGGATTTCTTAACTGAGAAGTGATTGGCGGAGATTTGGGAGCAATGGTGTGGAATTCGTATCTGCAGAGGGCTCTTCATTTTTCTGCCTTTACGTTGAATTGAGCTGTAGCTTCAATTCAAAGATGCCGTACAGCTGTAATAGGTTAGGTTAAAGTCACTAATAACTTGAAAAAGGCAGTCAAAAAAGCCTAAGTATTTGTGAAATAACTGATTTATAAGTATAAAACATAGTCTATGGTCTGAAACAATCACAAATGTACTGTAATAAACAATTCCAGTACACATTGTTTTGGAAACCCTGTGTCATGAATAAATTCATTTTATTTATTTCGTTTTGTTTTATCACAAGTTTGAAACATATTGCTCAGGTTTATACAACATATTTACATGATGTTAAAAAAAATCTCAGTTTTACATGTTAAAAAACATGTAAAAGTGTTAGTCTAGATGAAATCAAAGTCATATTTCTTGAATATAGACCAACATATCTAGATAGTGTGTTTTCTCCTGCTTGTACATACTAAATCCTGTACTTTGCTAACTAGGCTATGACCTGGAAGCTGATCAGCATAAAAGAAACAAAGGAAAGTAAACAAAAGCTAGATTTTGTATGAAAAGTAAAGCACAAAGTACACATGAATGGTACATAAGTGGACCAGATTTTCACCATCCATTTACAACCATGAAGTATCTTGCTAATGTGTTTGTCAATTGTTTTGGTGTATGACATAATGGGTCAACTAAAGGAAGTAAATCAGTAGATCGCTGTAAACCAGTAAATGTTTTCAACTTTGATCAAACTATGTTGAGACCTAGTATAGAGTATAACTGAAGCTAACCTTATGTGACGTGAAAATTGATAAAATAACTAGATCCATGCCTGCTAAAGGCTGAAAATTCTTACATATAATTCCAAAACAGTTGATTTGAAAGCAGACTTTTTTTAACTTTTGTTAAACTGTTATGGGAGACAATTCTCCTTTTAGCTCTCCTCCTTTGAAAAAAAATTTTAATAAGCCACTTACTTTGGTCTCTTCGTTGATCTCACACACACATAAATTTATTCTTTAAATTTTATCCAACAGGTTAGACTTATATTACCCACATGAATCAAGATAAGCTGAATTTAAAGTTTTCTTAGCATTGGGCCTGCTAATTTAGTTACAGACCACATAAAAACATTTTTAATGATGTACTTGTAAAATGTTTTAAAATGATTTTAAAAGGATTTATAAAACATGCATGTTGCAGAAGGTAACATAGTCATTTGAATGAAAAAGGCTCCCTCTGATTTGTTAATGTACTGCAGTGCAGTATAACTGATATGAGCTGAAATAAACTCCCACCTTTGAAAAACAGTCTTTATTAGTTTTGCTTTTTTCCATTGCTTTAGGCTGGATACAAATTAAATGAAGTTAACAACCTGTGAACCTAATTGATTTTCATCACTCTAAATGCAGCAGTTTTTTTCAGTGCAATCAAAACGGTCCATATTCATGTTCCCGCTCACAAAGATGGTCCAATGTCATCTCGACATCTCTCCACATCAGCTGTGAACTAACACATCTGAATCTGAGAGATGACCCCTGTCTTTCAACAGCAACATCAGACCCCTCCTTCTCCTCCATGTCACCTTCACCCCATAATCCCTCTCTGGTGTATCAGCCACTAAAATGTCAGGTGGCTGATGACATGGTGGTGTGCATGGCTGAGGGAGTAGCAGGTGTAAAGACTGAGAGGAGAGACAACTGATCCCTTCTTGTATTACTTTTGGAGTATCCACATCAGGAGGCAGACCAACGCTGTCGATCTCAGTCGAGCTGAACTCATTTAAGGCAAGTACTGAAGCACCATCTGCTGGTACTATGCATCTCTCTGTCTCTTGAACAGATGGAATCTCTGGCTCATCAGAACATCTGTTTGAGGACGCAGCAGCATCAGGAGCTCTCGCCACAATTCTTTTTCTAGTTGTAGTTAATTGTCTCTTTGGTGTGTCTTGGCACTGCACCCTTGAAACCGTCCTTCTGAGTTGGCGTGATCCTTGTGGTTGATTTTGCACATCAGGAACCGCAGCAGACTCTGCAGCTCTCTTTGTGCGTGTGCTCTTTGGTTGATGAGTCTGGTCACTTGGCTTTGTATGAAACGACAACGTTGGAAATTTGCACACGCTGCTTTTCCTCCACAGCTGAGTCGAAGTGTCAAGGACGCTTGTGGCAGACTGACATTTTCTTCTCCCGCGTCTTACTGGGGGTGCTGCTGTGAGCGTGCTGTCAAATTGTGGGTTTACCTAAATGATCAAAAGAACAAAAAAAAATCTGTGAAGCCTGTGTTTACTTTTGTTTGCATAAGTTTGCCTTAGTAGTTGACTGATTATAGCTTTTTACTGGCCGATGCCTGATCATGAGAGAGCAGGTCAGTCAATTGGCTGACATATAATGCCAATATCACATTACTTAACTGGAGTAAATTTTTATCAGTTATATGTTGGTGGAAAAATACTTGGTTGTCTTGGCCGGTAACATATTTTAGATGGGTTTTTATGGACAGACAGACATTTAGTTATGCTGTAGATTGCTTAACATGGCCGATATTGCTATCAATGCTAAATATTCCATTACACTACGATATATTCACTAGCCTGACTGTTTTGGAACTGGTATGCTGTTAATAGATGATTTGAAAGATTTGTTATCATTTAGAAAACAAAAGATGATGGGGATATTAAAGGGATATTCCGGCGTAAAATTAATTTAGGGTCAAACACACCATAACACCAAGTTAGACACCCCCTCGAGAGATGAATGTTGCCGACCGCTTGCTTCTCTAGTTATACTAACTTTAGTAACGACCGCACGATAGCGATACACAGCAGACTGAGGAGCCATAAACAAACCTCAACCAAAAAGCCACTCTATAGCCACAGATAATGCTCAGAACAGCACCTAACTTCATCAACAGTACAGATAGGGTCCCAGCCACAGAACGAGCCACCAAACATCTTTTTAACTTTGCCTGATTTCATTAGCAAAGAGACCAAACACAGCTCACCTACTCTCTTTTAGCAGCCGCTTGTTTGTAGCGAAACCTCAGGCCAGTCCATTAAGAACTGCTGCGGGGTGACGCAGCTCAAGGAGGAACATTTATGATCATTTCTCTATCATTTCCTTTAAGTAATAATCATCATATTAATCATTTTGAACTGCAGATGTGGTAGTTCTTCTGCCTTAGCGTCTCGGTCTGATTGCATTTCCATGAAGAAATGATCATAAATGTTCTTCCTTGAGCTGAGAAACTCCCCCCCACAAACAAGCGGCTGCTGGAAGAGAGTAGGTGAGTTGTGTTTAGTCTCTTTGCGAAAGAAATTAGGCAAAGTTAAAAAGATGTTTGTTGGCTAGTTCTGTAGCTAGGACCCTATATGTACTGTTGATGAAGTTAGGTGCTGTTCTGAGCATTATTTATGCCTATAGAGTGGCGTTTTGGTTGAGGTTTGTTTATGGCTCCTCAGACCGCTGTGTATTGCTATCACGCGATCGTTACTTAAGTTGATATCTCGAGGGGGTGTCTAACGCGGTGTTACGGTGTGTTTGACCCAAAATTAATTTTACGCCGGAATATCCCTTTAACACTAATATTTATCCCATGTGTGGTCTGATATATTTGTTGAAAACATGTTACTGGCAATAACATCCTTGTATATTAGATTTTAAAATGTATGGAATAATGGACTTATACTTGACTTTCTTCCATATTTCAAAAAACCCTTTTTAAATCATTTTTACTGTTTCTTTAGTCAAATAGACAAACGTGCATTGTGGCGATAATCTACGAACATAAATAGATTTACCCGTTTTATATTTAAATTTTTACTCAAGGTTTATTATTTTATCTCTGAATTGTTAATGTTGAACTGTTAATTTTTTTAATGGACTGACAGCTTACCCAGGACTTGCAGGCTGTTCTGCTGTGTGTTTCGGTCTCTGAGAAGAACTCTCTGGGGTTGATCGCTGCTCGGACTTCAGGTACATTTTGGAGTCTGGCTCCACACAAAGCCCGCTCCAAGAACAGCAGAGGAGGCTTTTCTATCCTTGCAGCTTTGCGTGGCATTAATAGAAATCATTCCCGAAGACCTGGTGGAAAATAAACACCATTAAATCTGTGTGAAAGTATACGACTGTCCTTAGCCCACAGTCTAGTGTTTACCTTACCTTACCTTCAAAGTTTATATTCAAATCACAGCTGTTAGCACTGGTATTAAGCAGACCTCGGAGGGTCCTTCGCGTAAATAAAGTTACGGTTACAAACGATTTAAAAACTATTAAATTGCAAACTTTGTTGTTATGAAATGGAGTTTTTTCTCTGCCCCTGTGTTCGTATTTCCCGATTTCCGCCACTCTCCACCCTGTTCAGCTTTCACTTTGCTACCATTGGTCCACTTTCGTACCACGTGATTAGCGTCACAGAGGCACAACCCACAGCGCCAAAATTCAAATACGTGCGTGAATAGATCAGATGGCATATAAATAAAACCAAATTGGAGGATATTAAATCATCTGGATTAATGTGAGATTAGAGGGGAGAATCCACAGCCATTTGGAGTCCAGCTGAGTGGAATCGCCTGAAAAACCACAATAATATGAAGGTTTGGTTTTATTTAGCTTCAGTGCTCTGTTCAATAGGGTTGTTAGCCAGCTAGCCACCTTGTTAGCTTCCTACAAATGAGAGCTAAAGGAAAGTTAGCCTTTCCAGCTGGAATTGCTTCAACTTTAATGTGACATGACATTTGCTTTTCATTTAGTATCCCTGATTGTAAGTGTTTTCAAACTTTGTTTCTTTAACCGGTCTCTTCAGTTTGTTGATTTTACGTCAAATGGAATCCCGTTCAGGAAATATGACATTGTAATAGCTTTACAATTTTACTTCATTTGCGAAATGCTTCTGCAATAAAGTGCAGCTGTTTATTTACAATTACAAACACGATTTAATTCGGCACATGTCCCATAATAAATAGACTTTTCGTTAGCGGGGAAAACAACTTTTTTTAATCGGATGTCTCATAGTGCGATACGAGGGAGAAACAGCCGCGCATGGCACACAAACCACGTCAACTGTAGACCCGCAAAGATAACGACTCATGTTCTAGAAGTCATGAGTTGCCAGGGAACAAAACAGAGTCTGCTGAACTACTCCACAGCTGAGCCGACAGACGGAGACGGGCTTCTTTTTTTTATTTTGAGGTCCAGATTCGACATACAGGCCGTGCCGACAGAGTACAGTATGTTCTAACTAGAGTTTGGTATGAGTGATTGTCTTCTTGTCAATCTTAAATCGTTCAGTCTACGTAGAAACACTTTGAATCCTGCCCGATCATTAGCTTCTGTTTGATAAACCGTTAATCTACAGGTAATTACTGTTAGCGCAGTGTGTGTTGCTGTGATATATTTTTGTACCTACACTTTCAAAGAAATTTAGGGTGCTGTTTGACTGAGAGTGTGATGGTTTGCAAAAAAATTGGAACTATATATTTAATTGTTATATCACAATGCAAATGCTGACACTGAAAGTTCTCTGCTTTTAGAAAGATTCAATGCCTATTTTGAAAGTCATGATAACAACATGTGTCAAAAAATAAGCTAGGACATTGGGGACACAACACTGAAGAGAAAGGATCATTGTGGACATATAACAACATCATGGCTCAGTAATAGAAGAGTCTAGGTGATAAACTGGCCTGCCTTCAATCCCAAATTGTCACCCATCTTACACAGCTGGCATTAGGGTTGGGCGATAAAACAGTAATGTCTCAAACTCAATCGCATTGCTGTCACAGACCCAGTAGGTCTCGGTTTTTACCTTACATTTATGGATTATAGTTTAATGAAACTGAAACTGAAAAACACTCAGTCTGGTGTTGTGTTTTCTGTTTTTAGTAACTGTGGCATATGGTAGCTCTTATTATTTTTAAAAGGAGTACCAATTCGCCATCACTTGAAGTTGAAGTAGACTCCATTTTTGTCTTCTCGCTTCCACCCGGGACGCGTCTTTTTTTCCCTCCGGAAAGTCGCAAAATAGCATCGGGCTTGATGTGTATAGTCAGGCGCATCAAAATTCGCCTCCGAATATTTGATAATTTTGCGTCGTATATTTGCGTAATTCCCAGTGGGTAAGGATCTTAACAGGGAACATTTATGACTGACAAGTGATTTTTTTTAATATCGCGATATATATATGGATATCGACTGATATGAAAAAAAAAATTATATAAACTTTTTCTCATATCACTCAGCCCTAGCTGGTGTAATATCAAATTTTGTCTTTTCATGTTTTTTGCACAGAATAAAAGTGAAAACCAAGCAGCATTTTCAGTGATCTCGTGACCATGAGACGGAGCCCAAGGAGACCCCTGATCCTCAGAAGAAGAAAATTGCCCTTCCAGCAAAATGACCCACCAGCAGCTGAACCACAACCCGCTGCATCGAGACCCAAAGACCCTTCAAAACCAGAAGCCAGTCAGTGCGTCTCAGATGGCATCCGTGTTATAGATCACCCCACTGTGTCTGATACGCAGGTGGTTGTTATTCCCAAAACAGCGGACCTTCAGAGCGTTATCGGGGCCCTCACTGCCAAAGGTAAAGAGTGTGGCGCCCAGGGGCGAAACAAGTTCATCCTCCTCTGTGAAAATGGGAGCGATCCGTCTTCTTTGGACAACATATCTACAGGGACTACAGCTGAGCAACCAATAAAGGCAGAACCTGTGAACATCCCCCAAAATGTTCCACCTCTCTCTGCAGTCAAACCATGTACGGACACAAGTTGATGCTTTCATGTTAATATGGAGTTTTTCCTGCCTCCCACTAAAGGAGTAATGGTTTTTGCTTCTCTTTACTAGTTAAAGATCTGGAGTGTCGTCCATTAGATGACAGCCTCACCAACATCCAGTGGCTGGGCAAAATGAACACAAGTGACATGGAACCAGATTCTTCCAAGCAGCCGGCCAACAAGGAGAACCAAAGCACAGATCCTCAGGCTCATCAGGTCAGCTGCTGCTCTTTGTCACCTCAGTGTGACTGTTTACCTTTGATGTGTAAACACAAGTTCCCACGGAGGGAATGCTGATCTCAGGCATGTCTTGGCGTGTCTCCTCAACACCTACTTTCATAGAGTGTCCCGCTCTAATGTCACATTTAGAGTGAATTACGATGATCTTTAAAGTTTTGGGGTTACAATTAAAAGTTTTGGCTTCTTTTAATCAAAGGGTAACAGTTGAATTTGGACAGAGTGGTAGCAAAAGAAGCAGCTTTTAAAGGAGTGTTTGTTCACAGCATCTTTTTCTTCTCTAAGCGGTGATTTATGCTTGATTATTTCAAATTAAAATGTGCTTTTTTAAAATGTTGGTTTCTTCAGCACATGTGAACATTTGTTTTATTCCTTTACATGTTCAAATGATCAGTTGCTCACCGTTAAATCGATGCGCTTTGCCAGTTTTTCTATTGTAATTTTTATTTTTCTGTTTTTTTTTTTCTTTTATGGACACAGAATGCAACAACTAAGGGAGAATCAGCGAAACAACCCATTTCAGAGAGGCCCCCCTACTCCTACATGGCTATGATCCAGTTCGCCATCAACAGCCAGAAGACCAGGAGGATGACCCTGAAGGAGATTTACACGTGGATCGAGGATCACTTCCCTTACTTCAAAGATGTGGCTAAACCAGGATGGAAGGTACTGAGGTTCTGTTCATGCAGAGATGCACATGTAATGCAGGGGAGAGCAGATACAAGTCTGTGGGTATTGCTCTCTTAAAAGATCCACTGATGTTTTTTTTTTTTTTATGATTATTCATTTGCAGAATTCTATCCGTCATAACCTCTCGCTGCACGATATGTTTATTCGTGAGACGTCATTTGATGATAAAGTTTCGTTTTGGACCATCCGGCCTGAGGCTAATCGATGCCTCACTCTGGATCAGGTCTACAGGGTGAGTGATGTTCATGTCTTATGCATCTTTCATTTCATATTTTCCCACATTGTAGTTTAAGGAGTACCTCAAACTGAATTCTGCCTTATTTGTGTTCTTGTATTTGCTGTGTTTTGTGCCCTAACTACGGCATGTACGGTGCAGTAATCATGGATTTCTTTCCTCTCACTTCAAATTTGTCTCCACAGCCCGGTTGTGACCCGACAACTGCTCCTGTCCAGATGCCAATGCTTTTACTTTCCAACCAAGTAAGATGGATTTACCTCTCTCTCAGTTTTTCAGGAGCAGGCTTCACTTCTGCAGACAGACAGGAGGAAACAGAAAGGGACAGAAAATCAGCAGATGTCTGCTTTCACTTTACCCGCTTTTTTTCATCAGCAGACCCCTTGACCCAAAGAGTGCAGCTGCAGCTGGAGGGCTGAGCTGTGGGGAAATCTTTTTGTTGTTGCAGGAGGAGATGAGAGAGTCTAGTCTTCTTTGAGACCAGTTTGTACAGAAACTGGTGCATAAAGGAAAATTCCTCTTTAAAGTATAAGGACAGCTATCTTTGACTGCCAGTCACTTAAATTTGAAGCACCCAAAACCAAGAGAGAGAGCACTAGTAAAGCCAGCACAATAAGATCATTGACGTGATAGAGCTTTTCTTTATAAAGGTATATTTTCATTTTTTGTCTCAGCAACAGAGAAAAATCCTCCCAGATGCAAGAAAAACACCAACCAGCTCTGGTGAGTACAGAAAGATGCCGTAAAATCAGGATCATTGGAAACGGATTTAAAGGAGTAATTCATGTTGTTGTTTCCACGCTCAGAGAGAAGGATGAAGCCCCTTCTCCCGCGGACAGAATCCTACCTGATCCCACTCCAGCTCCCCGTCGCCTCCTCCGTGTTCATACCGTCCTCACAGGCCCAGTATCCCCCCACCTGCTTGCAGCAGAAACAGACCACATCCAGAGGGACAAAGAGAGTGCGGATAGCTCCCAAGGTGAAGACTAAAGCACGTGTTTAAGAACCAAGCGCACTTTCCTGTTTTCTGCGGTGGTTGAAAAGTGTTGTATGGAATTTGAAATGACAGCAGGGATGAGCATCACAAGTGAAAATATCAACCATTATGTCTGTGGCTACCAAACTTGTTGTTCTTCTTGCTTTGAGCTGGACTTCTAATTCCCAAGGTTTGGGGGCATAATTCAGAGAATTTAGTTTACAACTGAATGAATGAATGAATGGTTTTATTTTTGGTCCCAATAACAACAAATGAGAAACAAACAGAATTATAAACTTAGGTGGAAGCACAATGCTCATAGTTGCCTATCCTATGAAATAAGATTAAAAAAGAAAAACACTTTAATATTAAAAAGAAAACATAAAAAAAAATATGTTGCACTACGAAAAGAAAAAAACAAAACACAAAGAATGAAAGAAAATGTTTTCCTCAAAGCTGTACTCCTGAATTATTTTGCTTTTTAACACTTTTTTAAATATTACCTGTGAGTTACACAATTTTAACCCATCGTTATGGTTATTCCATTGCTTAACCACCCAAACTGAAACACATCTAGCTTTTACAACTCACTTGAAAGTGAAGGTTTAGTGGAGATTAAAGATGGTATTACCTCAAAAAAAAAAAAAAGGAACATGTCTCCACAAGTTTTACACATAATTTAAGTTTATAAGGTCTGTGAAAGTTTTAAAAATCTACAAAACTTAATTTTCCTACTTCCTCATCTTTTTCTTGGCATGTCCTTGACTCTTTTCTGTCTTTAAGGTTTCCCAAAGTGATGTCCCAGCTCCACTGCTGTATCATCAGAAGAATAAAGAGGCCAAGATAAAGATGGAGGAAGAGCTGGTCTCTATTAAATGTGAGACTCCTAAATCCCTCCCCAAGACACAGGCCTGCGGCTCTCGGCGTAAACAGCGTCTGACCCACTCTCTGACCGAGGAGCCTGTCCTCCTGTGTCCTGAGAACCCTTTCTTTGACTCAGGTGTCATCTCAGACGTGTCCACTTTTCAGGAGATGCGTGACACTGAAATAGAAGAGCACATTCAGCAAGTGCAGCAGAGTAGCCCAGATCGGGAGTATTCCTTCAAGACCCCCGTAAAAAGTAGCAACCACCTGACCTCCTCCACGCCCAGCAAACCCCTGTGTAGCGCCCCAACAGAGCCTTGGAAGGTGACACCTGTGGGCAAAGGGAGCCAGGACGCTCTGGACTTCAGCCCCATCCGCACGCCAGGTGGCCCTGCTGTCACACCCTGCCATGAGTATACCACCTACAGCTTCAGCAGCACCCCCTTCAAAGACTGGCCTCTGTTTAACTCCCCCAGAGAGCTGCTCACGTCGGCTCCCTCCAGAGGGGCCGACGCCTCAGACTCCCCTATCAGCTGCCTCAGAAGCAGCTGCTCCAGAGAGCTGCTCGAGGCGGGAGGCTCCACACCCATGAACTACTCCATCACAGAGGGTTTGGTCTTGGATACGATGAACGACAGCTTGAGTAAGATCCTGGTGGACATCAGCTTCTCCTGTATGGGCGATGACGACCTGGGCACCGCCAACATCAGCTTATCCGAGTTCATCCCCCAGTTAAAGTAGCTCCAGGATCCAAATACACAACATTTAACTTACATGTTTTAAAACACTATGGGATGCATAAGCAAGAGACGGCAAATCAGATGCAAATGTGACAAAATGGAATTACACCCACATCAAACTCTATCGATATTCAGATTTTAGGAACACAAACCTGATATTACTTCCTTTACATCAGAAATGAGGCCTAAAAATTGAGTCAAAAAATTGTTTTTGAAAAAAAGAAAAATTTGCGTGGAGGAAAAAATATTATTAGTGGATGGATGAATATGGAAGCCCTGAGTAAGTACGTCCAGAAAGAGAAGTTTATCACTCAACTCGAATACTCATAGATGTCAAAGTAATAAAGGCTGTTTCTTCAGCCAACCTACCCCCTCACCATGGTGACAGACGTTGAATGGATAACAGAAACCTTTTCTGCTTTAGTTATTTGACCATTTTAATAAGAACCAAAGTATGAAGCTGTTTTCATTTTTGAATCTTTCATATGCGTCTGCTTTGTTTTCTTCTGCATTTTAGTCCTCCAGCCAATAATTAAGTAACAAGGACTTCACGAATAACTGGGATCTTTTATTGACCGAGCGGCTCACTTGTCTTCCATCATATCAGAGATTTCTCTCATCCTCCGCTTTACCTTTCATTTTGTGTAATTGGTATTTTACTGCCTCTTTTCACCACTTTCATTCTATCTCCCCTCGTTTCTCTGATCATTTATCCTTCTGTCACGTCTGTGTGTACTCTTGAAAAATTTGTAATGCGGGGAAATATGTCTTCAGTGTATTTGTATGTTGATTTGCACATTTTAATATATATTTTAGCTTTTAGGTAAGTAAATTGAAAGACGATATATTGCCTCACAGACCAGCGCAACTCTCCTGGTATCCACCTTTAGACCTTTAGATTGTACTGCAGGATAATTAGCAATAATAACAAAGTAATAAAAGTAGCACTAACAGGACTGTAGGATAGTGTCTGTACTTTTACTGTAGAACCGTCTTTCCAAAATGACTAATAGTCTTTGTGTTTCAGTATCAGATTGAGGGCACTTTGTACCTGCAATGTGGGACTTTTTATATGCAGTGACACCATACTCTAAGATTGTCCTTGGGAACTGAAATCTTTGGTATCTTTCTGGAACAGATTCAACATCTTGTTTTTCTGACAGCACAATTTCAACACAGGGAAAAGTGTTTCTAGCAGAGCAATATATGCTGCATCATCTTTGGATAATAAAATTGGAAATAAAACCATTTAATGGAATGATTCAGAAATGTTTGTTTTGTATGGATTAGTTAAAATTTTGTTTCTAGCAACCTGTCCTGCGAGCTTGTGCCTTGTTTGATTTTTTCCCACAATAAATCTGATGGTGTTGATTGGTGCATCATGAAGCAATTCAGCTTCTGTTTAAAGCTCATGTGAGGGACTTTTGGTTTCTGCTGATTTGGCGCCCCCTGTGGACAAATTTCGAATTGAATTAAGAAAAATCTCTTCCCTCTGTTAACAGTCCACTGTATAACTGATCTTAAACTGAACTTGAAATAAAAACAGTCACCTCACCTACCCCCTTTGTAGCAGTTTCAGATGTTAAAAATAACCTACAGTCTAATGGTCCTATGGTCTACAAGCTAATGGTTTTGTTTGCCTTGGTAGCTCATAAATAAACAGTATTTATTTCTGTATAGTTTGAAACACCCAAAAATTCTCACGAGTTAAAATTCTTATGACAACTTTAAGTGTGTTGTGATATTAAAGTTAGACCAGATGAACTATAGAGATGTTTGGAAACCCAGTACTTTATATCATAACTCAATACATAAAGCTAGGTCAGTAATACATTTCAATAAAACCTTGCTAAAACACTACAGAAGCTGCATCTGTGATTCAAAAAGGACTTTATTCTTTCATACAGATCTCAGTAAAAGTAGCACTGTGGTTCAAGTATAAATCTACATGGGACTTCTGATGTGCCACCTGTTCCCAGTGGTGTTCATTACATCTCAAAAACCTTTTAGTAATACAATTGACACTTTTTTCACACTAGTAGAAAAGGTGGCATCCACTAGAAAGCCCTCTTGGATTCCTCAGTATGTCTTCACCTCCTGTTGAGCCACTTCGAGCAGGATCTGTAGCTGCTTGCTGCAGTAATCTGAGAAAATTCAAGAGGGCAAAAATGATCAAATACTCTGCATACTTGTTTTTGGATTCATAGGAAAATTATGCTAACTGGTCAGATCAAGGCTAGGCACAGCCTGAGTGGGACCATTTAGATTTGATGGGGAAAAACATACAGATGGTTACCAAGGGAGCTCAATAGATTCCTCAGGATGACAACCTGACACACTGATCATTTCACACAGCGAGAGTCAGGAGAGAGATAACATTACCTTTGAGCCACTTCCTATAAAAGATTTACTTTGAAAATACACAGATATGTTGGGACAAGAAGAGGGTTTGCACAAATATAATGATTATTTCACAGATGACTACTTTGTGTTGCTGTCTATTCTTTCTGAGAAATAAATGTATATTTTAATCTTACCAAAAATTCGTCTCAATCTTCGGGGCAGGCGATATCTCTTAATAGTCACATAGTAAACTGGAACCCCTGTCAGTGTCAGAACACAGCTCCGCCCCGTGTTCCAGGGGTCCGAGTACAGAGACAAACCAACGATGAAGAAACAAACCACTGTGAAGGTGACAGCAATGACCAGAGGCACCTTTGGGTGATAAAAAACAGCAAAATAAATAGTCAGGGGCCGTGATGCAGGATGTTGCACATTTTGGTTGAAGAACTTCAAAGACATTCACCTTAAAAGGTCTGGGGTGGAGCGGGAAGCGATATCTGTGGATGAGCATCCCCAAGGTTGCCAAGGCGATGAAGAACCAGCGAGAAAAGGAGGCAAAGTTGATGAGCTGATAGATCTCTCCTGTGATTAACATCAACACCACCAGGGGGTACTGCAGACACACAACATAACAGTGTTGGCATATCAAACAGTTGTCTGTGTCAGCTGTGAGCAGGGGTGTCATCAGGGATTCTGGGCCCCATGAAAAGACACCACAGTGGGCCCCAACACCACAACTAAACCAAACCTGTTTCTGTTTGAAGTCATAAAGATTATAGAAGGACAAGCTGTTTGATACCTCCTCATTTCAGGACAGAAACACAAATAAAGGTGCAGCTGACTGGAGGGAGACTACCAGAGCACCAGAAGTGTTAGGTAAATAAATGATTTCTAATCAATGAGAGCCTGTTGACTTGATTAACAAACTGATGGATTAATAATATCCATCTCAGAGTTTATGATCTTGTGAAGAGGCAGATATTTCATAACAGTGATGTGTTTATCAATAAGCAGTTTTATTTCATGATAAAAAATAATACACGTGTGATTTCAATTTAATTGTTGTGTTTTGCTGATAGTCTACAGAGTTGAATAAATTTCTGAGTGACTGACTTTATGTTCAGTGCTTACAATACACATTAGCAGATTACTTTTTCCTCAAAAATCAGAATATAAATAATCAGATTACTTTTCATCAGTAATCAGATTGCATGTAATCAGATTACTTTTTACCGAAAACTTAAATGACATGTAATTGACTACTTTTTGCAATGAAGGGCTCACAAACATACAATCAGATTACTCTTTCCGTAGCACTCAAATAACATGTAATTAGATTTCTTTGACTTAAACTCTTAAGTAAATTTTAATCAGATTACTTTCTCCCGAGTACTTCAATCACATGTATTTAGATTTCTTTTTCTTAAATTCCCTGGTTACATATAATCAGATTATTTTTTCCTGACTACTCTGATTGTAAGTCATAAAGTGACTTTTTTTTCTGACTACTGAAATTATATCTCTTAGATTACTTTTATCTGTGTACTTACATGTAACCAGATTACTTTTTACTTCTACTAAGAAAACACACAATCTAGAGGAAAAACAGCTATTGTGCTAATTCTGACATATTTACATTGACGCATACTGCTCAAATATGTGTTTTTTCCTAATTAGATTAACTCAATTAGATGAAATAAAATAGAATAAAAAGTGTTTACCAGGAACAGCACAGCAGGTAAAGGTGTTGTCTGCGGATGTGAATCATGGAGAAGATTGGGGGCCAGTGACCCTCTCTGGCTCCCACAAACAGCATCCTGCAATATAGAAACAAAAACTTAAAACCAGAATCTTTGTTGCCATTTTTAGTTGAGAAACAGAAATACAAAAAACAAAGAGGAAAACATCAGTCTGGGTTAAGATTACCTGGGCGACCCAAAGAAGCCACCATTTAGGGCGCCAAGGCAGGACAGGGCCACAAGAATGGGAATCACAGAAGACAAGCCCTGGAGAGCACGGTTCGCAAATGTCTGCAGGCCATCAGAAGCTCGATTAGACCATCATTTAAACTCCCAAGACCCTTAAAACTTAAAAGATTTTCTTTTTTCAGGCCCACCACTGACCACAGCTACAGCATCAGAGCGCAGCAGCTCAGCGGGAGTCATCATGGTGTAATAGGCCACATTAACAAGCACATAAAAGACCGTCACTGTCACCATGGAGCAGATTATTGCCAGTGGGATGGTTCTGATGAGACAAGATACAAGCAGAGAAACGATGATAATTTCAAGACGGTAAGGCTTTTATAAAGATTAGAGTGAGGAAGGAATGTTTGATTGAAATACCTGTTCGGGTTTATGACTTCTTCTGTGACAAAGTTCAGATAAAACCTGAAAAAAATGGAAATTACAGCCTCCATATCCTCCACGGTTATGTTTGTGTAAATGTTCATACTCTAATGCACACTTTCTTACCATCCACCGTACGCATACAGGCCATTATAGAAGGCAAGTGGTAACTTATCCAGTGTTAAAGTTTCAATCTCAAATCCATTCTGGAAGTTCTCTGTTTTTCCTTAAAAGCAGAAAACGCAGAGAAAGACAAAGTTTTACAACAGAAATAGCAAATTTACATCATTTGAAAATTGGAGGATTGCCTTTTGGATCCACAACTATTTCCTTCTACCTTTTGCCAGTGCAATGACACCAGGAATGATGATGAGGACCAGTGCAAACATCTTAATAAACGTCAAAGTGACCTGAGTGCGAGAGGCCATGGTCACACTCCAGCAGTTGACCGCCACGACAAATGCTAAAACACACAAATCAAATATTCATAAAAGTTCAGTATATTTAGTACTCTTTGAGGATACAAAAGATGTTTAAAATAACTGTTTATAGAGAGAGGATTATGTTGGCCACCACTCACTCACTCCAAGGATGCTAACAAGTTTGATTAGTGCTGTAGGAGCAGCACAAGGTTCAAAGAACGGCTCCACAACATAGCGACCAAAAGCCAGGGACACATAGGAGGCCACAGCAGGTCTGGAAAAGAAAAGTGATTTCACTTCAAAGTTCCTGTAAAATCATTTCTATATATTCTATATCAATCAATACTTTGGGCTTTTCTTGGAAAAAATATCAAAATTTATTGCCTATTACCACTTAGCTGTATTTTGGGACACTGAAATCAGAACAGATAGGAAAAAAACAAAGACAACCAACCTGATGAATAAGAACTCAACCCAGAGTCGTAAAAAGGCCGGCAGAGGTCCCAGTGTCTCCAGGAGATATGTGTAGTGGCCCCCTGACTTTGTAAAACTGGTGCCCAGTTCGGCATAGCATAACGCCCCTAATGGTGAAGAAAGCAGACCAGAGAAAAATATCAAATACAGTCGGGGGGTTCAACAAAGTTTGATGGTTTTCAAACTGAAAAAGTGAACGCTGGCATTAAACCATGCTACAAATCATCCCTAAGTTGTCCCATAAAAACTGGAAAAATTATGTCAATTTATGTCAATTTTGATTCACATTATTTAGTAGATCAATTCCAGAGTTAAACTGTAACAGCAAACATGAGTTACACCATCAATCGACTTACCAAACAAAGAGAGGACCCCACAGAGCGCCCACACCAGCAGGGAGAGCCCCACGCTGCCACTGTTCATCAGGACCCCCTTGGGTGCGATGAAGATGCCACTGCCCACCACTGTGCCAATGATGAAGGACACTGCTGACAGCAGACCGATCTCTCTTCGTAGGTGCACCACCTCTTCTCCTGTCTCCTCCTTCTTGCCATCCTCTTCTGGCTTCATCTCCTTGTCTTAGCCTCAGTAGATCCAACTTTAAAACCACAAACTGCTCACATTTAGCCAAACCTGTCCATGTTTTCTCCTACATGTTAGTCTTGCAAACCAAAGTTCTTACCTCTGTTTTGGTTGTTGCTGCTGAATCTTAATCACTCTGCAAACAGTCGAAACAACAATTCCCTCCCGCTTCCTGTTAACCCTCTGGGTGCACATTTGCAGCCATGTCTGAGAAAAATGTGCATAAAACATAAAGCTGGGGTCGACGGAAACAACGCTGGCCCCTTCTCCTCCCCTCCCCAGTCACACTGCTTGTTTTTCTCCCCTCATTGGCTCTTATCCCCCTCCACTCCCCCCAAAAGCCAGTGCAGGGAACAAAGCCAGCAGTCATCCAAGCTTTGGAAAGTAATTACAGCAGTTTAAAGTCTCCACACTTTCCTACATTGTGTCGTCCGTGTGTTTACAGCTTGATGGAGGTCTTTTGGGGCTCTTGGGAAAAAGGGGTCAGGGTGCTGTGGAGGCAGCTGCACGGACTGCAGGAGGGCAACTTTCAATAACACCACCTGGACATTCTTTTTTATCTGAAAAAATTTAAACTCAATCAAAACTTGAAGTATTTGCACAATATTTCTGCCAACATCATTATGGGAGGCAACAGAAACGAGACAAATCCCAGAGGACACTCTTTTAACTTGTTTCCCTTTATTTACACTTGACTGACCGCTCTATGGATGTCACTTTCACTCCATCTGGCAGAGCGATAGCTGAGCTTGTTAAAATTCTTCCACTCACAGAGATCTGTACATACTTAACTCCACAGCATGTCAAGTGTTGAAATCCCAACTGCTATCAATGCCAGGAAACGTCATCTGGATGGATTCAAAATTCTGACAGAAAAATGTCGAAAGATTTCAGAATTTATTGCACGCTCTTGTCAGGAATTTAGCAGGATCATGTGATGTTTTGTTTTGTTGGAGGAAGCATCAGAGGGATGCAGAGATGGGGGATGTTCTTGGGAAATTCCAACAACTACTCAAGCAGGTTTTCCTTATTTTGTGTATAACCTAATGTAAGACGTAATGTAATCCTCACTGAAAATATGACATGAAGAAAACAAGACCTGAACGTCCGGCTGATATATCTCCAATGCATCAAGTAAAACCTTGTGTTGAGTCTCTTGAAATAAGACGATTCGGATGAAAGGAAACTTTCATCAGGAAAGAGTACAAAAATCAATCAGTTTATTAACTGCAAGATCACTTTTGTTATTTTGTTGTTTTGTTTTGTCGACTAGAATGTTTTTTACACTGGCAGAACAAAAGGACGCCTACAGGACAGACTGGCAGAACACAAATATGCAATAAGAACTGGAAATATTCACTACCCAATGGCAAAACACTACCTGGAATTCTAGAACAGCAACCCAGATTCATTACAAATCATTGGTATTGACCATCAGAAAAGGTGACAGACAAAGGGCCAATCAAAAAGCTCCTTACAATCAAAGAGCTATGATCATCCAATTAGTTTGCTCTTATCAATCAGCTGATCAAAGAGCTTCTTTTATTTGCCACTTGGAACGTTCCTTACAATTGGCCAATCAGAGAGCTTCTTACATTCTAACAGGCAGGTCAGTTTGGTGGTGAACAGAGCAGCAGCAGTGAGCAGCTGTCAATCTGTCAAAAATCACCCTTATTATCTGTATTTTTTAAATTCAAATTTTATTACTTGTTATTAAATGTCTTCTTACATAAAGTTTAACTAAAATCTGCGGCTGAAAGTTCAACATTTTAGGCTGAGGAAATTCTGGGCCCAGGCTCCAGCCTCAAGCATTTTCCACAAGGCCAGGCCCAGGCTTAGCAGCAGCAGCTAGCTGCCACCAGACTAAGCCCAGACCACTAGACCACTATCTGTGCCCTCCTTTGGACTGCATTAAGGAATTTCTTTGTCTGTACATCTTCTGCTGATGACTATCATGCATTATGGGCCCAGAGAAAGCAAATCAGAAGGATTTGTGAGCTGCTTGATCAGCAGATTTTTAAGATCTGATTGAGCAACAAGAAGGAAACCGCTAAGACCTTTGCAGAGACATTCAAGGAATCAAATCATCAAAGCATGGACAACATCATGGGGGATACCCGGGATATTGAGGACAGTCTACAGTTTTCCCAAGATGTCCAGAGAGCATTTCAAGTGAGTTTGAATCCATCCAAGTTTCCTTTGACAGACTCTTTGGGAAATAAGAACACCTGGACAGTCGATCTAAGAAAAACAACATCATTGATGGAGTCTCTGAAGACAGGGGTGAATCGGGCCAAGTCACTGAAGGTAAAGTCAAACAACTGCTGGTTGAAAAGCTAAAATCTGACCCTAAATCAGTTGAGTTTAAATATTTCTGATGACACGCTCATATTTAGTTTGAGAGTACTCTTATTATCTTCCATGAATCAAAATAGAAAAACTGATTTCCTTTTTTCCCCAATACATCTGCAGAGCATGTAATGAGAGTGAAGGAAATTTAAAACTGTCTTTGAGATGACCTCAGGGAGTTTGAATCAAATGTTGCTCAATGTGTTTTTCTTGAGATTACTTCATGTCCCTCTCTTGAGTGATGCAGTATTATTATAGTGACCATTAACTGTCTACAAAATACAGAAAATGACCATTTTAATCAGCTGTTAACAGGTGTGTTTGAAATTCTGTCAACTAATGACCTACAAGCTGTTTTTAATGCTGTCCAGACAACATGCCAGCAAGATAGAGGCTTCGACTGCTCTTTAGAAATTAATGAACATCCTCTCAGTAAACAACAAATAATCATCAGATATGTGTTAAAATATAAATTTATGTTTCTACCTTTCTCTTTAAAATCCTCATTTAGAAACTTTTTTTCAATTAAATTCTCAGATTCATTGGTATACTATCAGAACAGTACATGTCAGTGTTTGGGTCCTACATTCATTCCTTTACAACAGTAGGTGGGATGCCCATAAATATGTTAAATAAAAGGAATGGTTAATTCTGTATCACTTACACTCATAATCTATGAATGAAAGCCATGTAACTCAGTCACCTGAAGTTGTGGTGTTCAAAATACACGTGTATAAGTTTAGACACTAGGTGGCAGCAGATCTCTTTCTGAGATGTAACAGTGTTGTTTGCAGAGCAGTCATAAACTCACTTCTTTGTCTGGGTTTACCAGACAAATGCAGCAACTTTCCTTTGCTCCATTATTCCTCTGTTTGTAGTTCCTTAGAGGAGCTTCAAGTATTGCCATTTCTGTTTTAGTACAAAGCCCTAATATATCTCAAAATATACTGTAAGTAGCAGTCAGAGTGTATGGCTCTCCTTGTTTCCCCTCTATACTCCAAACCAATCTGCTCTCATAAACTACTTTTTTTCCTCTGTTAAGTAAACTTGTTGTTGTCTCTTGTGCATCCCTGTATTGTGTTTGTGTGCCCACAAACAGCTTCAGTTGGCTTTGCCTGATGCTCGGATGTTAACTTACTCAAAAGATGCATATGGAGAGTAGGAGGAGATATGCGTAAGTGAGTGTGGGATTTTGTTGTCGTCACATGTGACCTCTTGATTCAGTTTTACACCACAGAGATACCGATGTTTACATTGGGCGCACTCCTTCTCTAGTTTTCAAAGAGTTATACAGAGTGAAACCTAAAAAGTTAAATAGTTTATCACAGTGTGTAGTATTATACACATTTTAACACTAACCAAATCGTAGCGTCTTGCCACCCTTTGGTTAAGAAGTATGTCTAAAAACCACAAATCTAACCGGTAATGAGAAACATTTGTGTAAGTGAAATGATTATTTCATCGTTGACTACTTTTTAAGCATTAGTTTTTATGGTGATGTCTATTTTTATATCACGTTAGCCAGCCTAGGCCCTATAAATGCCTTACTTTACAGATGTCTTATTTGAATGACTTGAATTTACCCAAGAATCTTTGTAAATTGAAGCTCCTGTGACAAATTTTAGGTTTCAAACATTAGCCTCATCTTTTTTGTTTTAACAGTTGAATTTTCACTCATGCGGGATATTTGCCTGGGAAAATGTAAGAGAGAAGCTCAGTCTTGATAACTTTATCTAGCACCTACCATGAAGCACTAGTGTCTGGCACTGGAAATAAATATGGAGAAAGAGTCAATTTCCATGCTGTTGGTCTTATTTGGTTTTGTAGGTCATACTGACTCATCAGTATTAATTTTCGTCTGTTTCATAACTGCTCACAATAGTTTGAAGTTACAATTTGTTGGTTTATTTGAGGAAAACTGCCAGTACCTAGGTAAGACTCCTCATCCTGGTGCGGGATTTGGTGTATAATGATGAGGGTAAGACCACCAGTGTTGTGGTTTAAGCAGTAATGGACTTACAACCCTCTACTGAATGCTTATGTGATCGTAGACGTTGGAGGCTGAAAATCACCAGTTATAAACTTACTAAACAGAAACACCAACGTGTTCCCCTACAGTAGATATCCTGATGTAACACACGTAAAACTGTGTTATCAGTGAAATGTTGCTTTTTAACAGCAGGAATGATGTTGACGCCAATGTCTTATTGTCTCAAAGTAGCAACTAAAATGCAATTGTGATTTTTTTATTGACTAAGTGTTTTTCAGTTATGGTCCACTTAAGATAGGCTAAAACTATGTGGGGCAAAAATGACTCAATTGTGACGTAAACCAAGACATTTTCATCTTTAAACTAAGACTAAATTTAAAGTCGTTGCCAATTAGGAGACAAAGAAAGCCTTACTTCTTTCTAGACTCTATTGATTCTCCCCAAGACCTTCCTGTGAGGGTTACCAGACCAGAGAGTAGTCATGAATAAACCATGGGGCACTAACTGGGGATGTGAATGTGCAAAAGTGAGTTGATTGCCAAAGAGCCACAAACTTCTGTATGTTTTCTGCTGTGTGCAACGTGAATATAGCTTTAAAGATAAACACAACACTTAAATTCTTCTTGAGTTGAGCAGGCATGTTGTAAAACTGTGATCAACAGGCTTCATCAGGTGTTACCCTGAGAGACACTGGTAGACCGGTTGGGTATTGACATTCAGCTCGGCCTCTTAGGCTGACCTTTGCTTCTACATACGTTATTCTGCTGTTAATGAGGAGGAAGTCGATTTCATCACACTCCCAGAGCAGTTCGATTTAAACTGGTGAGCTGCAGATTATGCTTTTTGTCGCCAGTGTCAGTGGTTTTGATGGCAGTCGTTGAAGGATTTCTTATCGCTTGGGGGTAAAGAATGGTTTCTACCAATTATGTGGTCAAATACCGTGAAACAATGGAAATACATCAACTTAATGCTTCAACCCTGATAGTAAAACGCGGTATTGAACCTTGTTTATAATTGCCAATGACCATCCAATCATACAGGTAGTCTGGCCACTGAAGGAGTGGGTTGAACACAGAGGTCGTAAATTCACTGAAATGAGCCCAACCCTGGTCAAACGCCACCTTGGGTCGTTGAATTCTGACCTTTCATGATTAAATGTGTCCAGGGTTTTAAAATGCATTTAGCTTTCTTCCTGCCGTGTTCCTGGGTACACTCAAGGGAGGGCTGTTAGTCAACCTTCAGACTTATGACTTTGAGGCCACTGTTGTCCTGGGGATTCAACACAGACCTCTATCTGAAATTGTAAACCCATTGTAAGGAAATATGGGTTCGCTGTATTCCCTATAGAGTCATGAATTGGCATGGAAACCTGTTGTCTTGGTGACTCGAAATGATAGATCTGTGTCTGTTGCTCAAATGGCGGCAACCTGGTCTGTGATATTTCCTTACTATGGAGAGGAGGAAGCTGTTACAATCTAAAACTCACCATAATATCTGAAAATCCAACCGTTTCTAAGCTTATGTTTGCCAAACTAATCCTAGCTTTATATTCAACGCACAACTGATTAAACATGTCACTGTAAGGTTGTTTTCTCTCAATATCTTTTCAATGAACAGTTGCTCAGATTTCATATTCCAGCCTTTCAAAGCTTCATATCCTGTGGGATCTCAAGGAAATGTTTGATTCTTATTGGCTGCGACTGTTAGGAATGTCTATACGGTGGACTATACTTGTTATTTCAGAGGTGTCACCTTTAATACAAAACACTTCCGCATCATGATCTGACAAATGTGAATATCATCTTCATTTTTACCTCAGAAAACACCTGATGTCTTTAAATTGATGGTTTTCAACAACATACTTAACATCAGACTCTACCTGATAGTTTACTGCATGAGGGTGTGGCATGGCAGCAGTGGATGAGGCTTCTGGAATGATGGGTGCTGGAATTCTGGGGGGAAGGAGGTCCTTAAAGAAACAGAAGCTTACATGAAGCATTTAAAGGGATACTCCGGCGTGAAATTAATTTAGGGTCAAACACACCGTAACACTGACTTAGACACCCCCTCGAGAGACGAATGTTGCCGATTGCTTGCTTCTCTAGTTGTACCAACTTTAGTAACGGCCGCATGATAACAATACACAGCGGTCTGGGGAGCCATAAACAAACCTCAACCAAAACGCCACTCTATATCCACAAATAATGCTCAGAACAGCACCTAACTTCATCAACAGTACATACAGGGTCCCAGCCATAGCACTAGCCACCAAATATCTTTTTAACTTTGCTTAATTTCTTTAGCAAAGAGACTAACACAACTCACCTACTCTCCTCCAGCAGTCGCTTGTTGTAGGGAGACCTCAGGCCAGTCCATTACAGACTACAGTGGGGTGACGCAGCTCAATGAAGAACATTTTTGATCATTTTTTCATGGAAATGCAGTCAGACGGAGATGCTAAGGCAGAAGAACTACCGCGTCTGCAGTGCAAAATGATTAATATGGTGATTATTACTTCAAGGAAATTATAAAGTTATGATAAATTTTCTTAATTTTATGCCGGAATATCTCTTTAAGACGGAGGCTTCAATTCAAGAAGCCAGAATCTGAAGCCCTTAATTTATAAAAGCTATGATAAATTTTCAGAGGGACGATATGAAGCCTTAAAATGACAACAGCCCTTTGTTTTTAGGGCTGGCTTTTAAATATATTACCATCAGCTGATTCCACATCCTTCTAATAGAGGTGTGAGGAATACAAAAAAGTCTGATAACCGGATCAAATATATGCAAGGTGTCTTTTTAATTGGGTTGGAATGCTTTGAACATAAGAAATGTTGCTGGTCATATTGTGTGAGTACAGATAAGCTGTAAATGTCACCCTCTTTTTTAATTGTGCCTGTCTTCTGAGTAATGGCACCCATTGGGATTTAGGGTTTATAGTGAGTTTTTCACTTTTTTTTTTTTCACTGAGACAAGATTTACGACACCCACAGCTATAATAATATGATTTATTATGGTGAGGTGTGAGAGGTTTTCAATCACACTGTTGTCTCTGTGTGATTGAAATGGAGAACTCAAAGCCGATTTCTCTCACCCAGAAATATTTCCATGGAGCTGAACCAGCCTGATGGCGGAGGGACACTGGGGTTTAGACTGGGAAGTGACTGATAGCGCCGAGTCCGAGGCAGTAATCTAAACCCTGGGTATCTGTCAGATTCTTGGCTCAGACAGGGAAGAGGAGCTCTGGAAGTGGCTGGGGAGAGAGTCATGGTTGTTGGCCAGACAGCCACAGTGTATGATGAGGTTTGGGTAACAAACAATGGAGAAATAAACTCCTGCTGCCTGTACGCACAGTTATTTTCTGTTCTGTTGCTGTTCAGTTTTAATCTACAAATTATATCATCAGAAAAAAAAAGTACATCCATGAAACCTTTTAAAATGTTAATTTCTTATAATATCACGCGATATTTGTGCATTTTCTCGTCTACAAGCAGTCAGAAACAGGTTCATATTTTGTTAATTTTTACTAAAAGATTGGCACTACTAAAATAATAGTTTACTTGTGCAAATAGTTTACACATATTCATTCTGCTCACGTTAAAACATACTTTTTTTCGCAAACCATCCAATTATTTACATTGGGAAATACTGCCACAGTAATGAACTCCTCAGTAATCTCATAAAGCCAACCCTTTCATAATTCCCAAACCCAGATATAATGGGATTGGATACTCTACATGTACGTCTACAGGCCAGTCCAAACCAAACATCACTAAGTGCTGACTCGTCTGTTTGCACACTGCCACTGCTGATCACCCGCCACAGTGAGATCTCCTGATTGCATGTCGGCTGCGGTTTCGTATGCATACATGTTCTGAGTCACACATTGAACAGGGCTCCGCTCTCATTTCATGCCTCAAGGCTTTGTCTAATTAGCTTTTCTGTTTAACTATAAACTTTTCCCCTTTTCACAAGACTTAATCAGCCTGCCTGGGCCCATTATTTATACTTTCACAGAGAAAACTAAATATAGTGTCCGGTGCCGCTGAAGCTGGAGGAGGGATGTGGGTTTAAAGTCCATTGGAGGGGAGTTGAAGTTCCTTGGCAGGGGATTCGAGGAACGCTCTGTAGCGCTAGGGATGAGTCATAATTATCAGCTTGTTAAATAATTCAGTGATTCATTCAGTGCTGTGTCTGTTTTCCCTCTCTTTTCTTGTCTCTGATGCTTTTAGCCAGCTCAGTTTAGGATTTGGTTGCATTGACCAAGCTTTATTTGGAACAGCTGGAAACCCTGATCTGAAATAGCCTTTCGACTCTGCAATGGAGCGTCTTCTCTTTAGAGTCAAAAAACTTTAAAAATTGATTGCAGTCTAAATAAAAAATATCACATCAAAATCTAGGCTTTCATTTCCTTTAAAAAGGAAGTGGTGGTCCCTCAAAAAAGTAGGACCACCTTGGTGATTATCAGCCCACAGCCACAACGCCAGCATTTGTGTTTGTCTAGGGTTTAGTCTCCACCTGAAGGGACTCAATTTTTCATCACTATTGGTTCACCATGAATAACCCCACTTATTATCCAGTTAACAACTAGATTCAAAAGGATATTGGCACTGCACATCTATAATGTTTAGCCGACCAATTTAGCATGCTAATGAGAACTAATGCATTTGCCGATGGTGTCAACAACACAAGTAAAATGTGCCACAACCGCTTTCCATGAGTTGATATGACATGCGATCTGCTAGTTTCTGGCACTGCACTTGTTATGCAGGGTTAAAAAACGTTGTTGAGGAGTTTAGACCAATCAGAATCGAGTATTTAATATAGTTGTATAGCTATAGAAAATGCCTTTCTTTGGGAAAAACCTTACATGATGCTACTCTACAATGTGCACGTGATACAACAGCATGGCTCAGTAGTAGAAGAGTCTGGGTGCTCAACTAGCCTACATTTAGTTTTGACGTTTTTCAACATCTGATATATCCTTGCACTAATTCGCACATTACTTAAATATATTTGTATTAACGATTTATACAACATCCTAACTTATTTGGAGTTCATAATTTGTGTGCATTTTTACTATTTCTGTCAAATTTCTTGAGGCTTTCAAACAATTTTCCTAAATGAGGCGGTTCATTTCAAATATTCGGCAGCTTCTCATCAAACACTGCACCTCCTTCCCCTCAAGCAGCTCTTTTTCCACTCTATAATCACTCTGCTACAGGCTAATTCTCCTGTTTTTTTAGTTTTGAACATATTCTCTATCCAAGTTTTAACCCCAGCATCCACTCTAGCCACTTCTTACATTCCTTTAATGAACCCCAGATACCCCCTGCAGTATTACTTTCAAGGCGTTAAAACCTCACGGTGATCCCCAGAGAAATACACTGAAGCTTTTCCCCTCTCACTAGCCTAAATAACCAGTCTAGCACTGGTGAGATTTGCTGGTTTCCAGTCTCTCAGGGCCCAATGTGTATCCTGCTCTTGCTACAGCTTGAATTATTTATGCCTGCAGCCGATCTGGCCTCTCAGCAGGCCCAAGACACTTTGCTTTTGAAATAGAGAGTACATGGCATTCAGGAGGAAATAATGCATTGTTCAAAAGACGGTATAAGGATGGAGCCAGATGATTTTTTTTTTTTTTTTTATGTCGAAAAAGTAATTCCCTGTCACTGCAGAGAAGAAATAACAGGCAGTTAGGGAAGACTAAGAAGACTTAATGGCAATCATGCTGCTTTAAAAGACAACACATCCACTATTATAGGCACTGCATGGATTTTAGCTGCTCATAAAGAATAAAATATACTTCCAGTAACTCGGATTATATGATGTTCCAGTGAATAAGTATTCATTCTCTTACTTTGTATTCCCATGATAAGCTGGAGAGGTGGTCAATCATCCCTCTGAATCATACGAATCAATGCTGGGGAGAGTACAAAGCCCTTTGACACTGGCCTCATAAAACCTTTATAGGGACGCCATCAATCACCTGTCGCCTGCGCAAGAAAGACCTTGAGGGGAGGCCCGGGTGCACCGAGGGACCCGGCTATCTTGTTTATCACACATAACAAGATTCATTACATATGGAGGATGTTAGAGATGTTAGGATGAGCTGTAGCACAGATTTCAAGTTTGTTGTTTAGAGAGTTTAATATGACATCAGCTCCATTTTGTTGCATTTATGTACAGCTGAGTCCATTAACCGAGAAGCTAACTCTCTTGTTGTCTCTTGTTGTTTTGCTTCTCTTTTTAGTCATTTTTGGTCTCATTGGGTTGTTTTAAGACGTTTTGTTTCTGCTTCACATATCTTTGTTTTGTATCTTTGTATCTATCATGGTGTGATTTTCGTATCTCTATGTTGTTGGGTTTTTTTCACCTCTTTGTTTTTGTTGTTTTGGTGGCTTTGTTGGTTCTCCTTCTGTTTTGGTTGACTCTTGTCGTTTTCGGTCAAGCTTTTGGATAATTTTGTTTCTACAGATTCTGAGTTGTTTCAAGTCTATTGTGTTTTTTTAGGTCGCTTTGTGTATTGGTTTTGCTTTTAACTCTTCAATCAATTTAATTTGTTTTGTCTGATATCGTGCTACTGTTGAGTTATTTTCTCTTCATTTACTTTGTTTTCAGCCCCCTTGTAGTTATGTTGTGGTGTTGTTTCTTAGATCAATCAAGTCTTTTTAGGTTGCTTTGAGTCTTTGTTTTTGTGTGTATATCTTTGTTTCTAAATTCATTTTTGTAGTTTTCATTGTTTGTATGTTTATCAGTCTTTACCTTTGTATACTTACTGTAAAATTGTTCTTTTTTGTCTCCCTTTCATTTGTTTTGAGTCATTGTGAATTGTGAAACTCTGTGGTCATTTATGTCTTAGTAAATTTTCATGTCTCTCTCATTCTATTTGTAGTTGAAGAATTTTGTGGTTGTTTTGAGACTTAATAGTCTTAAATTCCTTTTGTTGTAATTATTCGATTAGTTTTATGAAACCTGTTGGTTGTTTTTTGTCTCAGCTACTTAAGTTCATCTGCTTAGTCCTTTGGGGATCTCTTTGTAGTTTATTTGCACTTTGTTTTTCTAATGCATTGTTTCAACCAATACATACTAGAGAACTGTTACCTAAGTATATGGGCTGCCTTGTTGGACAAACCATAATGGATTAAAGAAAATGTGCTGAGATGCAAAAACGAACATTTTATTTGCCCTTTTCCTAAACAGTAATGTCATGGGAAGCTGGAGCACGGGAAATGACTTTTAAATACCAAGAATGACTACTTGTACAAACCTTTGACACTACCTGCTTTTTCCTGGAGACCTGTGGTGAGAGTCTTATTGCTGTTGACAAAATGCCCTTTAAAGAGCCTTCATCTCAGCAATGAACTGCAGCGACACTTTTCTGTCTTCTTTGCACCATTAGCCAACCCTTTATTACCCTTTTATAAACCCTTAATTACATGCTTGATAAATCCTTTATTACACATTAATTACACATTTATTACTTCCTTTACTAACCCTTGATTACACCCTTTATGACATATTATCACACTCTTGACAAATACTTTTACACCTTAAATACACTAACCCATCGTTACACTCTTCATGAACACAGTTATTACACCATCATAACACATTTTACCCATATTACACATTTATTACATCCCGAACTTTCCGTATATTACACTCTTATCTAACCGTGATAACACCCTCTACTACCCTTCATTTCATTCTCCTGCTATCGTCTATTTAACCATTAATTAAATGTTTCCTGTATCGTAAGTACATCCTTTCCAAACCCCTTATTACACTCTTTATAAACCTATTACTACACGTTTATTACATGTGCAATTAACTCTGGCAAACCCTTTTATCACAAACTAAATTACACATAACAACCTCAACTAAGCCTCAATGTCATTGTCTAGTAACCCTTTATTTGACCATTGATTAAACGTTAAATATATATCTATTACATATTTTACAAAGCATTATTACACTTTTTATTAACCTTTTATTACACCTTTTATCAACACTGACAAAACCTATATTTCTGTCTAAATAACACACTTAACCAACCCTTTTATTACACTCCTAACTAACCTTGAAATTTACCTTTATAACGCCCTCAAATTAACCTTGATTTCATTATTTAGTTACTCCTAATGTAAAGAATACAGACTTTAGGATGTTTTTTTCATCTAAATTTCCAAGTGCCCCAACCAAATACAAAAAAGAGCAAGTGTTGCATGCCATAACACATTTCCCCCATGGTCTTGACACCTTTTTAGTGCTCCCATCAATCAGTGACATTACTTGGAGGTCAGGAAGTATTTTTCTGTCCGTGTGGAAATTGCACAGAGATCTAAGCTTTGCCCCCCCCCCCCCCCCCATGTTGAGGCGAGGCAGCAAGTGGCTTTGAGGCCCTGCAGCAAAGAGTTGATGTTCCAGTGGCTGCAAAAGAGCTCTGCAGAGGGACATATAGTGAGTACATAAACAGTGAGTTTTCTGAAACGACATTTGAGTACAACACTCTATCTTTACAGTTACACTGCTTGCAGTAAATAGCACTAGCTGAAGAGTGAAACGCTATGAGGACACAAAAAACACTTGCACACTACTAGAAGCTTCCCATTTGACCAACATTTGTGATTTTGCACGCTAAAAAGTAGGAATTTCTCTGTAGCTTCTATCAACATTGGGTTTCACGTGAATCCGAGCAGATTTGGTTAGACACTTGCTGCAGGATCTGTACGTGTGACCTGAGTGTGACTCATGCACAGTAATCAACACTTTTGCTCTGTGGCTGTTGTGTTTGTGTGGCTGCCATCTGTGTCTTTACACCTCTGAGTCCTCCATTTTCCCAAACCTCTGACATTGTGGTGAGAATGAGACACAACCTGCCGCAACCTTTTGAGCATGTATGGCGATTATTACGCACGCCGCTCTTTCGTTTGCTGTGTAAATATTAGTCATTTGTTGACGAGGAGGATCGTGATGCATAAGGTGAGGTGGGGGCTGAGTAAGACTGTACTCAAGGAGGTGACTGGCCTCTGTGGGAGGATGCTACATGCACAAAAAGGGAGCAAAAGAGTGTGCATGTGGACGTTAGTGTGGATGCGGAGGAGGGGAGGGCTTATATGTACCTGTGTGTAGCAGGAGTCCAGGACGTGTGAGGCATGAGAAAGGAGATCGGATAACCTGTTTCTGCAGTGCAATCCCTCCACTCACAGGGCCGGCTTCATTAGCAGCTGTCTGTCAGATCAACCCCCTTACACCGCTGTATGGTTGCCTGGCAACTGGGACCATGCTCGGCCTATCAGAGCCGGATGCAACAGGAGTTCTCTCCTTGACACATACGAGAGAAAGGCCGAGTTCTCCTCCAATTCAATTGATTTTGTTTGAGCGTCATTCAGCGCAAGGACAGAGAAGATGCAGAGAGCGCTTTCATTCAAACAATCGGTCCAACAAAGTCCCGTCAATAATGGTGATTGTATCAATGTGTGACATATTTCCTTAGCAACATGATTTCATTATATTTTTTTTAATTCACAGCCTGTTTTTACACAAGAGCTGCCTACCAGGAATCCCTCAGCAAATGAAAGGTCTCTGGTGCTCCCATCACAAAACAGCTTCAGGTCTCTGCTCAGACTCACAAGTTAAGTTACAAACATGGTGGGGAAGTATCATGAATCTCCTTCGAGAGAGTCAAAATTGAAGGCAGGGTAGAGGTCAGTGGCACCGTTAAAATACTGTCCAACACATGGATGGAGGAATTTTTTATAGTATGGCATCAGGTTTTGTGCTTTTGTATACAGATGGTTGGTTAGGTCCATATCCTTCTGCATTTTAAGAGCTTTTTAAATGGCAAAATAGCCGTACTGAGCATTGGCAGCATGGTTAAAAATGTTAGTCAAGAAAAAACCTGCTGTTTTGCAATCAGGCAAAGATTCTTCGGTTGGTCAAAAATGCTGAGTAACAACTAGAACCAGGAGAACAGAGCACATCTCCCCTGTATGAGCTTCTCTAAACTGGGTTTCCATTAAATTCAGAGTAGAATTCAAAATTCTTCTTCTGACCTTCAAAGCTCTTTGTGCTCATCGTTTCCTATTGCCTCACCGGGTCTGCTTATCAGGCTTCACTCTTTTAGAAACATTTACCAGCTGAGTCGTGGGGGGCAGAAACCTTCTTTACCTTAAAGAGTAGGCTCAATTTCTCCTTTTTGATAAAGCTCATAGATAGAACTAGTTCAGTCTTGGACTGGCTCTTAGTCATGCTGTTATAAGTATAGACTAGAACGTTGAGCACCTTTATCTCCTTCCTCATCCTCTATCTGTCTGTACCATTACTTTGAGTCAACATTAGTTGCTCTAATACAGAGTCTTTTCTGGGAGTCGCTGTGCTCCATCATGCTGTAGGTTCTTCTGGATGTAGATGTTTGGCTGCTGTGGACCTTCCTACATGAGTCTGGTTCTGTTCAAGGTTTCTGCCTGTTAAAGGGTGTTTCTCCTCTCCACTGTAACTTGCTTAATGGTGCAAAGTGTTTCACTCATGTGGTTGAAGATGGGATGGGAGTGGGTCTGATCTTACATGATGGGGCTTATTAATCTTGTCCCATCTTTACACTGGATCTATGTAAAGAGAGACCAGCTTTAATGTTAGACGTCTTGGGATAACACTTGTTCTATAGATAAGGATTGATTAAACCATGGAGATATGCCACATACAGCTATGGCAATACCACACAGATAAACAACACAGAACAAACACATAGTCTGCTGCACCGCTGATCAATAGGAACGCAATCAGAAGATGTTTACCAGACCTTCTCAAATTACCCTCTTTTTCACTAGTCACGGTGACTCTGCAGTTTTTAATTTCCTTCAACAAATCTGTGACAAACAACCTGCTGAGTGTTTAAAAGGCAGGTTCGAAAAGCTGCAAGTCCCACCCTGCTCTTCACACCACACGGATGTGAGACATGCACACATGTATCCCTCTCCCCTCCATCAGTGAAGCGACACGCAGCAGCAGAGGCAAAGCAAAGCAGAGGGCCAAACGTCCCTGCAGTAGTCATGTGTGACTTATGGTAATAAATAAGCGTCGGGGGCCATTTCCCCCTGATGATTCACCTGTAGATAAGACGGTAAAGACAACCATTACAGAATTTGTTCCTGTGCTCTGTGAGTCATCTCTAACCGTTGCCATCAACTAATGGGCCAGGTGGAGGAACACAGGTAATGCATCTCTGTCCTGAGGAACAAAATCATGAAACATTTCCCCTTTGTTACATTTCAAGCTTTCCAAACCTTGCACTCCATTGATCTAATGTATTGTCTCCAACGCCATTTTGTTCCTCTCTGTCCTGCACCACAATGACAGACCCATTCATCCTCATCACAGATTTTGGGGAAGATCGAAGCAAATAAATCAATCCATGTCATCATCTTGACCCACCCTGCATCAACACTAAAATAGCTGGACTTTCAATAAAAACAGAGGTTAAAGGTCTCCTATTATGGCATTTTTCATCAAGTTTAAATCGGTCCCAGAGGCCCCACAATAGTGGATTTGTGGATATCAGCCAGCCTGTACCCCACTCTTTTTGAGCTCCACTGAGAACTGCGCCTGTACCTTTAAATGATAATGAGCTGTGTGTAAACATCTTCCTCCCCAAGGCAACTCTGAGCTGCCGGCACCACCGTGTCAGGGAGCACCAGCCTGCCTCCGTGACCCCGAGGAACACCCGTTGCTCACAGGAATAAAAGTAAATAGAAGCGAGTCCAAAGACGAATTCCAAAGATGGTAAACACACGCAATTGCAGCCAAAGCACTAGTCATACGGGCGGTGGTAAAGCAACCAAAAATGGTAAAAATTTACAGCTTCCGTGTTTGAAGTTGGGTTCCAGTTGGTGCGGTACAGTCGGTCCTTAGCGAATCCTGCTTTGAACTACCCCTCATTGGTAAAACAGTGCGAGATGAAATGGTTAGCACACACATAGAACATTTTTCAGAGTTGTTGTGGGTACATTTCCATCAAAAATAAAATTAATCCGCTGGGTCCTCAAATCTTCCGACGAAGGAGGCAGAAATACACTCCTGTCTTCTTTGTGCAACCAAGAACCATGCAGCGGCTGGGTTGTAGCTTCGACATGGTTCATTTACCGGAGCGGCGTATGCAAGGGGAAAAAATGGCGGACACTACCTCAGCGAAGATGTTTTAGAGGGCTGGGCTAATGATTATTGGAGGTGCTGCCACTAACATGTAGGATGCGGTTATGTCGTCATAACCGCACAGTTTTTCCATTCGACTGTTTGCGCTCATGTTTTCAGAGAGTAGGGGAAGGCAAGAGAGGAAAAAAAATTTTTTTTTTCATGTCTGGGGGGGGGGTTGTCAGCTTAGAGTGGATGCAGATTATTGGTAGAAAACCACCCAAAAGTGGATTTTTCATAATAGGGGACCTTTTAAAAACAGGCCCTTGCCTCTGAAATGCAGTCATCTCCAGTGTGCTTCTCAACATCAAGTCCTTCAGGGTGTTTGAGATAAGAACAGTAACTTCATCGTATCACCACATCGTATCAACATTGAAAGCCCGGCAGTGTCAAAAAATAGATAAGAGTTTGAGCAGAATTGTGGTGGCACATGAGACAGTAATTGCTCCTGGCGAACACTACATCACACCAGGGGTTGCTGTTGTCTCAAAGCCTGACTGATCTCTGCTGCAGTTCAGGGCAGCGCTATCTCTCTTACCACCCAGAGATCTTTCAGTCTTCCTCTTCCTGCCACCCCGCTAGTAAAAGTCAATTGGATTTCAAATTGCAAAGAAGCACACTTGATTAATACTTAATGACTACAGTAGCAGTGCTTGTCTTTCTGCCTGTGTGAAGTGTGATGAGAGTGACATATGTGGCCTTTGAGCTTCAACACCCATCCCTGAGTCTGAGCAGAGATCCCTGATGCAGTCGTTGTCATGCCGTCTCACTGGGTAGATTCAAAAAGGCATGATTTTAAAGTCAGAAAGGAAAGACACTTTGGTCACTCTTTGGCATATACACTAAGATAAGTTTGTTGAGTTAGTTAACATACATGCTTAAGTTTGATCAGTCTCCGATTGGTTAACAGACCAAATCACAGGTGACAGCTTTTTTTTCAGCCTAGTCAGCTAACAACAAAAATGACACAATTCCACTGCAATTAATACACAAATCATCAGAGATTTCCTTCATTTTTAAGGGACTGGATCTAGAAAGTTTCTTCACTAGTCTTCCCTGAAGGAAAGAAACACCCTCGGATGCTGTAAAAATACACATAGTTTACGGCCCGAAATTTAGCGGTCTCACAAAGTGAGTGAATTTTACTGAAACTTGCCTCGTTATACTGCTGTATATCAAGAGCTGATCTTGTAAACACAACAATGCTATGTCGTGTACTACTGTGTCGTCCATTGAAGGTTTAATCACTAATCCCAAAATAGAAGGTGCTCCCACTATTTTCAGAGGTATTACAAGGAAAATAACCTGGTCTCAAATTAAGGTCAATATGGACATGAAACCTGGTGCCCCTTACTGAGATTTGTGTCTTTGTTACAATTTTTTTATATTGCTGAGACCTTTACTGGCAATCAATCAATCAATCAATCAATTAATCTTTATTTGTTTATAGTGCTTTACACAAAAAAAGAAGGCAAAAGAAAGAATAGCCAACTCTACCCCATTCCATCTCTAACCCCTCATCCCCACCCCGCAATCTAAACATAATCTTGTAGTTTATCGAGTTTTATGCCTGGTTCGTACAAACATGTTTTTTTTCTATCATTTGACGACTTTAACTTTGAAAGAAAAAGTTTGAAATCCCATTTTTGTGGGTCCTTCACTTACACTTTCAGGTTTTTCTGTCATTGTATAGAGTTCTT